AAATAATGAATAAACTAATGAATTAAATAATAATAAGATGAAATAATAATTTAAACATAATAATGTTATAAATTAATAACCTTTATTAATAATGCCTTATTTATTATAATACATTCATTATATTATGATCCCAGATCTCATTCTAGCTGATCACATTATGAACACATTCTTGTTACCTATCTTTAATCTCGTTATAATCATATTCTAATGCCTATTACATTATATTTATGATTATATTAGTCTCTTCCACCCGTAATTCATAATATCTTTATTATATATTATCCTAAGCAAATATTATATATAAAGTTATTAACCTACCATTAAATGACCTTTTCAAGGGGCACCAAAAATGGTAACAATATATATTTTTTAAAATAAGAATATTATTTTATATTTTTATTTATAAATATAATAACTTTTATATTTTCTTGTCTTATCTAACTCTTATATATATAATTCTCTAATAAAATTTTATAATCTTTACTTAATTTATTATCATTTAATAATATTATATTAAAAATATTTCTATAAGTAATATTTAAATATATTAAATATTTAATATTAATGATTATTAAACTATATTTTTTTCTTAAACTTAACAATATTAGTAAATAAAGAATAAAGATCATTTATTATTAATTTAATATTAATATTTTAATATAATACTTTTATCTTCAGATATCAAGATGATTCATATTTGATTATTTAAACTATTCAAAAAAGATAAATAGCAATAAGCCTTATATTAAATCTTGCTTTTATATCTTTCTTTTCTTGTTTACATAAAATAAATTTCATATAATATGTCAAATTATATATAAAAAAATATGAATTTTATGATATAATTAATAAAAAGTAAATTTTATAAAAAAATAAATTTCACATAATATGATTAATAAAAAGCAGATTTTATATAATTATTATAAGACCGGGACTTTTCGCCATCTGAGAACGAGCGGGATGATCGTCGGCGTACGTGATATTATCGTTGCACTTGCCGTTCACATATATACATCTCTTCTAGCTCTCTCATCTTCATCTTCAAAAATGAATGGGAAAGAGATAAAAAAATAGATTTTATATAACATAAATAAAAAAGCAAGTTTTATATAAAGATTACAAAAAAGATGAATTTTATATAATATAATCAATCAGAATAAATTTTATCATTTTATTTTATTTTGTCATATTATAATAATTATAATAAAATTATTTAGACAATATTAAATTTAATAAAAAAAATAAGAATTTGAAAATTTAATATAATTTAATGAAAAATTACTTAAATAATATAAAAATTTATATATATATATACTCTTTAATATTTATAGAAAAAGTTTATCTAAATTATTTATTTTTTTGAAAAATTTATATATATTTTATATATAAAAATATTAGAATATTAAAGTTTCAAACTCAGATAATATAATTTTTTTCTAGCTATTAGATACTATATTATTTATTATCAGAACATTACAAAAGTAATATTTTCAAAAAGACCATGACATTTACCTGGAAAATTTTATTGATTACAATTTGAATAGAGTACTTCAGTCATTTATATCAATATCCTTCAAGTGGTTTATTAATTGCTTAAAGATAATCTTGATGATTTCCCTGGTAAAGTATCAGATTTATAACAAAAATGATGGTAAAGACAAGATCAGAAAGATTGCAACCGAGATTATTTGCATATTTGTCGTATAAAGATCGACAATGCAAGTGGTGAACGAAATTTTGACTTTTCCTTTTGTTTGACAATGAGCTCAAAAACGCAATACATTATCTCCACAAAAACCTATCAAAAGATCATTCTACACGCTGTAAAACATCCATTTACTACTGTAAATGGAGTATTACTAGGCAAATATAGCGCTGGAAATAGCGAAGAGGTAACAGTAACTGATGCTATTCCGTTGTTTCATCATTGGACTACCTTGACACCGATGCTTGAAGTTGGGTTGCAACAGGTACGCGTTGTTTAATAAATACAAACATGAGCTTCCCGAAATCCAAAAAATTCCAAGATTTCAGAGCCAGACTAACTTTCTCATCAAATTAGTTTGCGGAGTGAAAAAAAAGAGAATTAGATTTTTTTTATTAATCCTTACAACTTAATAAATTAAAAGGTAGATATATATGCAGCACACCATAAAATTCGTATAGTTGGCTATTATCATGCAAATGAAAATAGCAATGATAAATCATTGCCAGCGTTTGGCTCGAAAATTGTTTCAAAAATTCGCGAAAGTTTTACAGATGCTATTGCTCTAATTGTGAGTTGTTTGATTAATATTTATAATATTTGAAATTTTATTCTTATACTCATTAGTAATTATGGTGTGTGTGTTTAAATAGATTCAAAATACAAAACTATCATTAGATTCCCCCGAAGTTGCAATACTGGTAATCACTTGATATTCTTTTTTTGATTTTCTTTAACTTGCAACGTAAATGGCTAATTTAATATTAGCCTTATATATTTCGTGAGAATCAATGGCGTCCAGTAAAGAATGCTTTCGAGCCAATAAATAATACTATCAACAACAACAACAACAATGAATCTTCATCATCGTCTTACTCTACACCAACTTTTACTCTTGAAGATCAAAAAGCGCAAATTAAAGCTAGCGACTCGATAAAACATCGGCATTATGAATACTTATATGATTTCGATGAACATCTTGAGAATGTAGAGTTAGATTGGCTGCATAACGAGACTTTAGCGGCTCTGATTAAAATATAGACATTTTGTATAATAAGTTACATAATAATGGCAAATCATAACTAGCAATAAATATTTATTTAATATGCATATATTACATTATTATTCCTAATATGATGATGATGATGATGATGATGATGGTGAGTTGTTTACTATTGAAAATTTGTATTATAGTGTTTTTTTATTGTTGTTATAGTTATCTATTATTTTATTGATTTATTTGCATTTCTAGTTGTTATTGTCAGACTGAGCATCATTCTTTTTGAAAACGATTGGGCAAATCGACATTTTCATATAAAATGAAGCTACCATTTTTAGGAAATAATGAGGCATCAATATTAGTTATACAGGGGTTGGGACGGGACAAGTCAAAATATACAACATTGAGTGACTTATGTTATATTATGTTTAGCAAATCCCTTATATATATATTTCGAGTATCTTTACAATTAATTATCAGAAATTTGGGATTATAAAAAAAGTTCGATCCTATTAAATGTCCAAAGAAAAACATACAAAATATCTAATTATTTAACATGTCCTTTGTCTGAGATTTTGGAAATTTTAGCCGGGATCGTTAGCCAAAATGACCATTTGGGAAATATTTTCGGCCAAGAATGCTTGGCCACGGCTAGATGCTAATACTAACATAATAGAATAAAAGTTTCTTCATTCCCCACCAACACCTTTCAAATCTGCCGTAGTTGTGTGCATTTTTTCCATTTGTATATTAATGAAACCACAGCAACCACCATCATTACCACCACCACCACCACCATCATTACTAATAATATTGAATTTTTTCTTTTCGATATTATCTTCATTTAATCTCTTTTGCCCATTCAATATTGATTCGTCCGGTCGTACATTTTCATTTGATATTGTAGTACTGCCAATATCATTTTCACGTTTTTTACTTTTTTCTCCATTTTGGCGTGGAATCAAGACTTTTTCGTTTTTCTCAGGGGCACCTTCATAATATTGTAATTGTGGTGGTTGTGTCTGTATATTGATGATGTTGTTATTTAAATTCAGTTCTTCGGAAGTTTCAAAGATTTTCATTCTTTTTTCTTTACATCCGTATGCCGAGGGAATGATTTCGATTAAATCGGTTCTCGGGAAAGCGAGAAACGGTATTTCCTATAAAAAGATTAATAAGCTCATTAATGGGAAAAATTTGATCGATAATTCTTATTCAGTATATTTAATTTTAATACACACCTCTTCAGGACGATCGAACAAATAAGCGTATAAGCACCGTAGAACAGTCTCGTGCGCGATAATTAGAACATCGTTTTTTTCGCGTTCCAATTCCAGAATTACAGCTTCTAAACGTACTGCTAGATCATGATATGACTAGCAAAAGAAAATGAGGTGCCGTTTATAAGAGTTGCTTCATATATTATCCTCACTTATTATCAATTAATCTCATTCTATATATATGTACCTCAGCTCTAGGAAACCGGTGATGATATGGATTTTCCTTCCGTCGCATATATTCTATTGGGAATTTTTTCTAAGTTTACAAAAAATTACATTTATTAAATCAAATGTTCAATACTTTAGCAATGACACCGATTGGCAATATATACAATAGTCGTACTTTTAATTCTTCTTCGCTTAAGCCATCTGCCTCGCCCAAATTTATTTCTCCCATTAGTGTTCGCGGACTCACTGTGAATCCTGCCTCAGCAAAAGGTTGTGCTGTTTGTAAGCATTGTTGACGAGTAGATGACCAAACCTATTATCATTAATGACATTAATACATTAATGATGAGAATCGTGATATAATTTGAACTCAACAAAAATTGAAAATGAACATCTTACAATCAATTGCCTCCCGTCCTCATCTCCCCAACCTTGTGCTTTCCGTTCCCGTTTTTCGCGTTCTCTTAAATTCAGAACAAAGTTTTTGAGCTTTTCAGCATATTCACGTCCACAGGGATTCAATCCAACGTCTGCTTTTTGAGATACTTCTTCAAGGCATTCTCCAGACTACATAGCAAAAATTAATATTTATAATAACAATATTAATGATTATCATCAAAACAACAATAAATTTGACGAATGCTTACGCGTGCAAAGTAAATTATTCGTGGACAGATATGTAAATTGATCAGATAATATACAATCCTTGACTTCAACATAATAATAGGTTCTTGGATTAGTTAAAAAGAAAATAAAAGGTTTCAACAAAAGTTTTATATAGTGAGCGCAAAAATACCTGAAGATATCCCTTCACATTATTCACGATAATCTGTTCACCCACATTTATCATTTTCACAAAATCTAACGAAGGATCATTGATCGTTTCATAATAAGGTATATGATTGTTGATACGCGCCTATATGGATGAAAAAATAAAATCAATTCCATTCGAATAACAGAAAAGAAATCGGATATAACATTTTTTTAAATTTACCCAATAATCTTCGACCGCCTCTTCCGGATCCCAACCAAGATACTTTATAAACAAAAAATAAAGAATAAGTATTTCGGTGACTTATATATAGTTATTGATGCTGCGAGATACACTTACATCAGGTGATAAAACCTTTACACTTCGAATATTACTTTCTATGATTTCTGGTTTGTCGCATATCGATTCTATAAAGAACAAAGTTTCAAGTATATAATGTAGATATGTTAAACTTTACTTCAATGTCAATTAAACTCTATAAAATCCACACATACCTATAAATACCGGCTAGAATTTCGTAAAGATAAATCCAATGATAGACAATTAATGTTTCATTTTTTACAAGAACGATCTAGCAATTATGTGTGAATTACCTACATGAACGCCATGTTTTATCAAAGTATCGTGTATCTCTCTTCTTCTTCGTTCAGTAGTATTACTGGCATCATAGATTCCGACTTGCCCACCTTTCTCGAACCATTCGATCATATCTTGTAAACAGGCATTCGCGATCTCGTGCCGTTTCTCTGCAGTTTCTTGGTTACCTATCCATAAATACATAAAAACATTAATAAAAATACAAGTCATCCTTATTTGATTGATTTTAGCACGAATCTCTTCGGATCGCACTCAACGCAGCTAGAATCTCATACTCGAAACCTTTTATAAGTATCAATTTCCGAAAAAATTACCGTCATTGATGTAATAACAAATAATCAATTAAGAAAATCAAAGCTCACCAGGGCTAAAAAAATCCCGAGGAAGTCTTTCAGGCGTACCCATGACGAGGCGTCGATAATTTCCGACGCTGAAGACCTTGGTCTGTACACCAAGCCACCTTAAATAGCGACATAGTGACCGACATACGTGTGTTTTTCCTCTTGCTGGAAGGCTAATGATAAAAAGTATATAATATAAATACACGCGTGCGTAAGTGTATTGAAAAAAATTCGTCATTCAATTCGAAGCAGTGATAACAAGATAATACTAAAATGTCTAACTACCCTACGGTGATAATGGCGATGGTTCCCGCGTGAAACATACGGCCAGAGTTAGTTTTATAAAGTGAAGCAGCCATTAATTTTTTTTTTAACTTTTGAACTAGGAGTGGGACTGATATGATTAGAAATATTTATGGGGATAAATTTGGTCTGTGAAAATATTGATGATGCTGATAATTCGATAATATAGGAAAAAGAATATAATAAAGATTAAAAAGATAAAAATGAATTTTTTCTTATCTAAAACATCAAACAATTAAGGCAATAATGTATAACGTGTATATACCAGTTGATACCTTTGAAAATGGAAAAAATTGAAAGGAGATTATCTGACTCACCAATTGTCAGTTTACTCTATTATACAAAAAAAAATCTATTATGACACCAATTATACTCATCTACAGAAGCAGATCTCCAATGATTGTGTGTAATATGAATGCGTGTAGATTTTAATTTAATCATTCTTCTATAATGATATTATGCATATTATGTAATTATTGATTTTAGCGATAGTGAATTATAGTACATGAAATAAATTATTGAATTATAATGTATATACATATATATAAATTATTTAATGATGGCGCCACAAATTTGTTTGTTATAAATCGGATCGTTAAAGTAAACAACTGATTGGTGTATGTCAAGTGATCTAAAAGTTCACCCGAAAAAGAATATCATCAGATCTTAAAAGCATAATTCATCTATTGTTAAATACGTGTACTACACACATAATGATAGTCCCCACTGGCGTCATTTCATTCTTTACGCTCAGATAAATTCTAGCGTAATACGTATCAGTATGTAATCATTGAATTTTGTTAATTAGATTTTTTTATCTTATCTTTATTGAATTACACACATTTTATTCCGATGTACAAAAATAACTATATATAAGATAAAAAAGAAAATTGTCTATATAGTTTTGTAATATCGATATAATTTTATTTTCTGCCTCTCATATTAGTGATTAACAAGACTATAATATAAACGGAATGTCACAACTATATCTTATCAATTGAAGTTTTTATCTATATTATCTATAATGGATACGAATAAAAATTAAGTTAAATTGGATCATTACCACCGAAATCGAAGTTCTTCATTATTTCACCATATGATTTTCGCATCTATAATGCACATGATAGTATTATGTCGGAAGTAAAAGAATACGATTTGAGGTAACTGCACGGTTACATACTTCTTTTTCGTATAACTGTCCATTTTCCGCATATTTACAGTATGACATGGCAATCTCACACCATTTTTTGGCTTGTGAATAATCGTTTGAGCTATATTTTCGAAACATGATATTTTCTTGAAAGAAAGAAAGATAAGAATAGCAACGAACCAATAGGTAAAAAAAATGCACTCACGAATAATAATCAATCCCGCAATTCCAGGCTGTTACCATTAGCCATTGTATTTCTTCTTCTGGATATTTACCCTGTAATTTTCGATATAAAAAAAATTAAAAATAAGCCCCGTCTTTTTTTCTTATTGTCATCGATTATGCTAATGTCATTCGATTACTTCACCTTTGAATAATCATTCAATATATCCAAAGCCTGTGTAAAATACTGCAGTGCCGTTTGTTTCCCTTTAACAAGTGCCGTGATAACCAACATTCGAAACCATCTTGAAAATTGTTCAATATCTATTTGTGTTCCTTTCATTATTGAGTCGAGTAATGCCTGAGACATAATACATGCATTACTATTTAGCAGGTACATTTCTTAATGGTATAATTAGTGCAATATAAAGAACTTCGTAAGTTACCTGTAATGTGGCGAAAATAACTTTATTTCATAAAAAAGATATAAAAGATAAAAATTAAATTATAGACTATAAAATTTATTATTGTCACAAAACATCATACCTTCACTTGGACATTCGTTTTCTTCAATAAGCAATTCAGCCATACGCTCATACATTTTCGATGGGACATCAAAATCATAAGCTGCTGCAGTCTTGAATTATGAATTTTGAGAATCAATGTTAAAATACAGAGATATTAATAGGATAATATTTGTATTATTATTACTCACGTCCAGAATTGTTTGTAATTCATTCCAAAGACACAAATTGACTTTTGCTTCAAATTCGAAAAGCAAAACAAGTAATGTATCAGTTTCACTTTTTTCTGCTTCTTTTGTCGTCTCCACATCGGGAGTTTCTTCATCAACGTCGTTAATTGTACGTTTTCGTTTCCCTAATTTTGTCTGAAATTTGCGATAATTCTGTATATCTTTAAGAGATTGTTGAAAGAGATCTTTCTATATTTTTTTTTTTTTAGGAATTTCAATAAAGTTATAATAAGTACAAATGAAACGAAATATAATGAAATTAAATACAATTTTCACCTTTTCCGAAATAGTTTTTTGTTGTCGCGCTAGAAAAATTCTGGCACTCAAAGTAGTAAAGAGACATATTTTTTTCCTTTTTATGTTTTCTGTTGTTTCTTCCGGATAAGTATTCAAAAACTAAAAAAAAGGAATTAGTAAAAATATGAATTCAACGTTATTGCATTTCGGTGAATTTTTTTTACCTTTAATGCTGTTTCAAATATCCTTATAGCATATGTATCGCTATTCTCTTCGCAATTCTCGCAGAATTCTAAACCGATGTTCCATGCTATTACGAATTAAATAATTGATTAATTGAAATTTTTTCACTAGAGATGCGTATTATACTATTTGATTACCAGTCTTGAAAAACCATTCTATTTCATTTAACGGAACCTTCTTTGAATTTGTTGAGTCATTCAAATTGGCTGGGTCGGCAGTATTGTTTTCTTCTTGATTTTTATTCGTTACGATTATTTTCGAAGCTTTCGAACAAAAATAATTGAGAATAATAAATAAAAAAACGCGAAATAAACTTGTAGTTATTAACTCACCAATTTCAAAATATCCACAAAGATGATTTTTAACTAACTTTCTAAATAATATAAAAAAGATTCATGTTATGTCCAAAAATGGTTCATTAAACATTATATAATATACAGACTTTTCAGTATCATTTCCAGACGTTAGCGAAGAATGGGTCAATCTTATTAAACACCTTTTTATTCAAAAATCGTTTTGAATTATACTTTCTTTATTACGTTATAGAAGTCGTTGACTATTTATAATTTTTACCTCAGCAGCACCAAAATATCAACATTTGCCATTTCATCTCCCTTTTTATGCTTCAGTAGAAGTTCCTTCAACGCCTCAATTAATACCTCTTTATTACTTTTTTGATAGGCTTCGTTGGCTGCCATCGCTAACATATTATTATGAAAATTTTCCCCTTTGCACATATCACGAAGATATTGGATTGCTAAAGAAATATTATTTATTATAACGAAATTCGTTATAATAATTATAATATTAACCATGCAAATTAATTATTTACCCTCCGTTAATTGTCCTCTTTCCATTTCTATATGATACAATATAAAGAAATTTGCCGCGCAATTAGGTTCATGATTTTCCGCTTGTTGAATTGCTTCGATCGCGTCAGCAAGCTGATTTGTCTCAAGGTAGCATAACGCGATCTTTCTTTTTTTTGTTAATTGAAATGAAAATATTAAAGTATTCAATTTCTTGGATAAAATGTGTCAGTATGATTTTTTTCTACCTTTGTAATGTAGCGGCATTTTTTCCATCTAATTGGTTAGAAGAAAGCCATTTATACGCTAAATTGTACCATTTCTTTGCCATCTCGTATTTTTGAGTCTACGAAAGGAAAACCAATTCAGTTCATGCAATCTGCAAAATTTATCAATTTTGAGCTTTTACCATATAATTTCGGTCCCCATTTTGCCAAAGAATCTAAAAAATAACACATTTCTAGTTTGACAAAATTCAAATAGAAAATCCGATTTCATCTATGAGATGTATACCAATTGACATGCAACTTTTGCCTTATGGCTAATAGCGATTCCGTGACGCTGTTCATCTGAAAATTATATTCGAAATTTTTAATAATTTTGAAGCTCAAATACGCATAAAAATGGACGAGAGCAAGAATATGTACAATCGAGAGACACTTGAACGCTTTGAATTACATCGTCTAAACTTAATAAAGTTTGGCAACTTGCGTTCCCTATAATATGAAATTTTGCTACGATCGCCTTTTCGATATATTGGATATTACGATTATCCGATAACGTGTCTTCTAATAGAATGTCAAGACCGGATAAAGCAAGCGTTGGGCTATTGTGTGTAATATTAATAAAGAATTAATATTATACCTACTATATTAAATAAAATAAATGGATAAAATAACATCGCATACTTAGTTTCGCTCACAAAATGTGCACTGTTTAGAATGCTATTTGCCAAGCAGAAAAATATGAAATGTCAATATAATTTATATACGAATACAAAACGAAGTTTTTCTTCATACATTTTAAAGTTCTCTTTGTTAAGCAGTCTATTTGTGGTTTTCATCAGGTGAAGAAATGCGTCTTCGAAAATGGCGTTATCGATGTTTTGCAATTTCAGAATTTTGATTTTTAGCGAAGATGCCAAGACATTGGTAGGTTCTTCCTTTTAAGCAAAATGATATGTTAACAAGCCATATCTATATGAAACATTTTCTTTATCATAATTACCTCTAAACATAAATTTATTAAATTCTCGGCTAGATAGAGATTCGACTCGTAATGTGTGGAATTCTTTAGATAAGAAATCGCTATTTTTGAGAATAAACCAAATATTTAATATTAAATAGTATTACAAGATTTATTCGTGTTCCTTACCTAAGAGATTTAAAGTATTCGTCTAATATTTTTGCAGAAGTTACAATTAAATTAATAAACACCTGAATTGAACAAAAAAAACGTGCAGACAAACGTTAAAACAAACCAGTAATTTTGTTCGATTAATGTCTTTTTCTTTCATATGGTCTGTTATCAAGTCATGGCATTTTCTTAGCCATTTAATTGCATCGCCTGTTTTCCCTTCGTGAGACGCTTGATTGCCAATATTGAAGCACACATTGCATAAAATCTCGATCTAAATAATTTTATTATTTGTCATTAGCATTCAATGATAAAAAGTGCAAAACCTTATCTTTCTAATAAATGGAGATATTTATTGCCTCTCGTGAGGTTACGTATTCCAAATATACAGAATCTAAATAAAATAAATAATTAATCTTCGCATAATCAAAAAAAAACCACCATGAAGTGAATCGGTTGTATTACCCGTTGCATGCTGAATCATCAAATTCGCAACATGACTATTGACTAATTTCCAGGCCTCGAGTGGATAAATTATTATTATTATTATTATTATTATTATTATTTTTAGAACAATATCAAGACAAGTCAAAGTAAAAGAGGAAATACCGCTTCTGCACGGTGCGCATAGTATAATACTAAAGCACTACATTTTGCTATAGCGTTCGATTCGTTTTGAATATTAATCACGCTGTCTTCATACTTTATACAATAAAATTCACATAAATATATATTTAATATAGCATTGTTTTCTTACACAAAAGATAAAGCGTACCGAATTCGCGGATCGTAAAATCTCGTCTGCCTTGTCGCTTCTTCCACAATCTTTTATTTAAATTTTGCAAGTATGTAAAGATAATTTTTAAACAATATATTCTTTTTTTTACTAACCTAGCCACGCTTTTCCAACTTTAGTTGCCAGTGTAAGTAACTTTATGGTTACTAAATTACGCATCAAAAGAAAAACCAAAAAATCAGTAATAATAGGTTGCGATAATCGTAAAGTTCAAAATAAACCCAGTATTTACTTTTTTCGTCCTGAATAGCAAAAGAACCAGCAGCAATCATTGCAAAACCAACTTGTCGCACTTGAGATAATAATAATTAATGATTTAGAATTTGAAAGGATACATACACCCCCCATAAAGAAGAAAAATAGCTTTACTTAAGGCAATTAATTCCTGTTTGAGCTCGCCTCCGCTATTATTTGAGACATTTGCTTTCATTGCTATTGATGTGTTCCAGAGACCGACACCTGTTTTGGAACATATACGTGTAAATTGACACAAAAATATTTAAAAGTAAAAAAGATAAAAAAAGATAAAAAATCATTTCCCTATTTCATCCATATCGTCAGCAAACTCTAAATTTCTTGTTAATTTTTGTATGTTTATGAATTTTTCAACATTGCGGGATATTTCGTCTAACGTGTCTTGCACGCTTTTAATTTCTAATGGATCTTTATTTAATTTTTCGTGAACATCTTTTACCAACGCTATTCATGGGATTAAAAAAATAATTACACTTTAATTCAATTTGATATATGACCATAATACGCGATAACTACCGGAAATACTCTCGAATTGGCTTCTGAGTCGACGAGCAAGAACTTCTGAATTTCCTCCGTGGTCAGTATCAACACTTTCCCTTCGATTGCTATTGTTATCTATGTCTATGTTGAAAAGTTCTTTAGCAGAATAAGCGGTGGTTGCTGTTAGCGAAGGCGAGAAGTCATTTGATACACCGGTTTTATTAAGCAAGGAAAATGTGTTACCATCCGACTTTATTGACATGTCGAAATCGTGTTTTTAATAAAGACAAGAAAGGAAATAATCATCATCACCATTGTCATCTGTCATCATAATCATTAAAGTTTATTAGCGGTTTTTAATTTATCACGCGGAGACCCTAACAATTTGTAACATTAAATAAAGCTGGATATAAGGGGGTTGTATTTATTCATCGAACAATTATAATAAACAGGGTGTGATTTCGTGAAAAGGCTACATACATTTATAAAATTTTTCATTAACGATTAATGATTATCACCATAGGAATCAGGTAATTTTTCTTTTATTTTCCATATTATCTTCATTGATATTTTTTCTTATATATTGTAAATAAAGTGGCGCGTCGTGTTCAGGAAAAACGGCAAGTCACCATTTGAATATTTGATCTTTCGATGTTTGCAAGTGTTCAAGATATGAAGAAAACATAAAACCAATAATTTTTCACTAATAGACTCTAGCAAGATTTTTACATAAAATTTTACCGAATTCCAAAATATTGTTCCAAGATGATTTTTTCAAGGTAAAATAAGTAAGCTCCTGCAATTTTATTTAAATACCAGGTGAGCCTTTCAATGATCGTCCCTTCTTTACTTTTTAGCCTGACGCCGACATTCCAATTGATCCAAAAACAAATCTTGCCAATTGGGACTGTCCTGAAGCATTGGATCTAGAAAATTTTGCAAATGTCTTGCGTGAAATAAAAAAAACCGGTATAATTCCGGATACTTATTCCTCGAAAGAGGAACAGAACATAATGGGGAAACCAGTTCAATTGCAGCGTCCATTGTTGATAGATGAGTTAAAGAGAAAAGTGGATGATTTTTTGGTGTCAAAGCAACGTAAGCACAAACTAAAGCAGGACGATAAAAATGTAGGGATTATTAATGGAAATGATCATGAACTAGCGAACTGGATATTTGTGATTGTGGACGGGTTCATGTTATATTGGGATCAAGAAGTGAGTTCAAATTTGGACATGAAATTTTTTATCGATGCAGGTTACGAAACATTAAAAAAACGACGGGAAAATAGAAGTGGATATGTGACTCTGGAAGGTGAATATCTCTTCCTCCCTCCTCACTCCTTCCTCCTTACATTCAGCAAAATAAATCATATAATATTTTCTTGATTTCCGTATTGAGCATTTCCAGGTTATTGGGTTGATCCACCAAATTATTTTGATAATATTGTCTGGCCAAACTTCGTAAAGTTTCATCAACATTTAAAATCTAATCGCCGCGAGAGAGGTATCGATATTAACGATCTGGTGGTATTTGAAGGCGAGGATAAATCACCAATCGATCAGAATGTCGAACGCGCGATAAACGTGATCCTTGAACATATAGACAACAGGATTAATTCGCAAGAATAAATTTTGCTATTTAAATTCTTTTTTAAAAAAGTTACAATTTTACAACTATTATAACGTTTCTCTCTGAATTGTTCGTGACGTAATTTAATTGCAAGTGATTACAAAAATGTTCTAAAATAATAAGTCACAAGAAACATTCTATGCAAAGTATACATATTACAATCGGTAACACTGAGAGCCTACTCTGTATGATAATGAGGAAAATGTGGATTATGATATAAAAACTTTTTTCAACTGAGAAACGTCAAACACATCTCCAGTACGAGGACATTGTACTTTGCCATTGTTCTTTGCTGCCATATCCGAAAGCGCCTACAAATTAAAAAAGAAATGGCTTAGTTTTTCACATATTCCAACCAAATAATTTAACTATCGTAGAGACTCACTTTATGTGAATACACATATCCATTGGGCAAGGCCATTGGTGCATTATCTTCATCCATTATTTCACCACTTAATCGGCACACAATGGTAGAATTAACGTGATGACTTAACGGTAAATTTTCTGCCAAATTTCCAAGCGTATCCGCCGAACAAACCGGGCAATTGATGTTTCGGTTCTCAGGTTGATAACACATTGGCGTTTTCAGCGCTGACAAGCCAGCTTGAAGTGTCACTGAGAGAAGAGGCTGCGAAGTCAATGAATTCAACGCGAAATTATCCGAACGAAATTGTCGAATAAGTTGCTCCCAACGCGATGTGTCATATAATTTCTATTAAACAGAAATCATTCTAAAATGAGTATAATTGAGAAATAGAAAAAAATGCAAAAAGCGCAAAAAATTATTAACTTTATAAGGTTGACAATTTGTATTCGATGGGAATGCTAGTAAACCCAATGCTTGCTGAATTTCTTTCATGTGCGTTTCCGACCATGGCGTCAAATATTTACGAGAATATACAATCGCCTCAGATGTACGTCGAGATCGCACAAGTTCAATATATTCTTGAAGACGAAGGTTGAATTCCAATGTACTCTATAAAAAAAAGCCCTCGGATAAATTTCAAAATAACTCGAAAAAAGCATGAATCAAATTCGAAATTGAAATTTAGAAGAAAAACTTGCATTATTTTTGCTTAAATTTGACTTGTTTTCTTTACACCACCGTAACGCTTCTACGCAACTATGTTTCTGTAAAGCCTGTTCAACCCTTTTAGATTGACTGAATAGTTCTACGTCCACATATTGCTTCTTGATCAAAATACTTTAATACATAAATAAATAGGCCATTTATTTTATCCCATTTATATACCTAAGAATCATGAAAAAGTAAACTCACGGGATTGATGTCTTCTTTTGCTAATTTTTCCGCGGTTCTACTCAACCCTTCTCGTAGCATATAATCTACTAAAATCCGATCTAATCGAGTTCGACTCCATTGTGCATAGGCTTCAACGTTCGCCGTGGGAATTTTTGTTAATTCGTTTAAATGTTCGAGTCGTATTCGACTTCGTGATACATACATACTTTCTTCTTCTTTGATATCATTAAGCTACCATCAAAAGATCAATTATTAACAAAAAATTTTGTCGATTCTGACTCGATTGAATATAAATATTCGACGGTTACCTTGCGCTTCAATTTCTGTAAACGACCCACCATCTCTTCTAAGGCGTCTGTTACATCCTTCGTCCTGATCTCTTCCTGTTTAGATTTAACAGCGAGATCATTAATACCGCGCGAGAGATTTGAAAATTCTTTGTCGAGTTGTCTCTGGGAAGTACGCGCAGATTTTTTCAATTGTTCAAGGGGAACCTGAGTTAGATGAAGATATATTTCAAATCGTTATTAGAGGGTTCTGAATTAACTCATCTGTTCTTTAAGTGGTATTGTATGAAACACAAACCTTTATAAAAGGTTGTTCTAACACTAACAGGCCCTCGTGATTTAACTTGTTCATGATTATTTAGTATATTTAATATTTTACTAAGGTGTATGAGCGCAGAGAAAAAAAGTGAACAGATTATATTTATATATGATCTCATCGATCACACGCGTTGTGGTAAATTCTAAAAATTCTGCCATCAATATAAAAGTGTAACGGTGATGTTGGATGACCATCTGATTTTATTTTTCACTACGTGAAATTATTTAAACAGCAATATGATTTATAACATGTATATATTTGACCGTCATTGCGCGTGTATATTTTACATAGACTGGCACCGTCATCGAAAAAGTGGAAGTGTAGGCGTCACCACCTCAACTACAAGCGCAACTGCCAGTATGAATGGTCACCCAGAAGAATTTGTGTCGCCGTCCGCATCTACCGTTACTCCATCAACAACAGGTCATAATATTACCAGTCATCACTCTACAACTTCACAGCTGACGAATACAAGTTTATTCTCGGATAGTAGGCTAATAAATTTGGATGAGGAAGCAAAATTGGTGTATGGGGTGGTGTTCTCACTGAGAAATTTTGTGAGAAAGTTAAGTGGCAGGTTAGTAGTACTTGTGTTTTAACTAATGTATATTATTGGGGATTATTAGATGTTTTGGACATCGGAGATTAATAAAAAAGCGGAACGCGTCTTTTTGTTCATAATTATTGCATTGGCGGAGATAATTAAAAAAACCTTGATTCAGATGGAACCTATCAATGATTTAATCGTTTATTTTTTTTAGTCAAGATGGATTCTTATCATATCGCACATCCCATTATAAATTGCATTACTACGAAACGCCAACTGGACTCAAATTTGTGATTAATACTGATCCGGCGGTAGATAAATTACGTCCAGTTCTACGGCAGATTTACACAAATTTTTATGTAGAATATGTTGTCAAGAATCCTTTGTCACCGGCTGAACATCCCAGTGGGGAAGGAGTGAATAATGAGTATTTTCGAGCAGCGGTAGATAAATTTGTAAAGAGTTTACCGGTTTTCGAATCTTGAGCTGTTCTATCAATAAATCAATGATCGGAAGTTAATTTTTTATTAATTTATGAGAATTTGAATCTGTACGATATGACTTTGTAATCTCTCTTGTTGACAATAAATTTTCTCTATATTACTAAAATCCACAATATAACAATTGGGACTTTGCGATATTATTTTTTAGGGTTTGCTTTGGACAAGATTTCGGACTTGGGTTTGGATGGTGGTTCTTTTTTTGTTACTATGACTGTCTTTCTGGGTTCTCCCAACAATTCTTCATTCTTGATCATTCGGCCATGACGTAACCACAATTTACGATGCGAGACGATCGCAGGCCATTCTACTCCAAACTCCTGTGGTATATTAATGCGTGACATGCTTTCCCAAAACAATAGTAACTGACTTTGATCTGGATCTTCCAATTTCCGTTTAAGCAATTCTTTAATTCCTTCACAGAATGCAAGCACAGTGTACTCGATTTCCTTCATGTCTTCAACTTCACGTATACGTTTCGGTTGTTGATAGTAATCGGGCGGTTTTGGTTTATTCTCAAGTCTGAAGCGAATGTAATTGAGTAAAGAAATTCTTGAAGCTTCACTTTTGAGCCCGTGAACGCCAAGGAAAGGCTGCCAAAGATCTTTACGAAGTTGATAAGATCGAAGCGCTGGATTAAGTGTTTGTCGAAGATATCTATTCTAGTGGGAAGGAGGATAAAAGGTGACGCTGCAGTGTATCATTAGGGATCTCTGAAAATAATAAAATATATCTAAAAATTCCATTCGACATTTTCACAAGGTACCTTCATGTTGACTTGTGGACTAATAAGCACTTGAGAGGTCGCGACATGTCGAAAGAAAAATAACTTTTCTATATAGCCTGGGTTAAATTTTTTTTCGAAATTGTAAAGGTGGAAATTGTGTTTCATTTTCTAATTTCCCAGATAAAATTGTATACCATGTCAAAACGAAATCAATAAAATGTTTCGTGTTACGTAGAATTATTTTGAAACCACCAACTGTTTCGCTCCACGAATTCACTTAAATTTTAGCTTTCACCTTTTTTTTTAACGCATTTAACTTGTCTTCATATCAATAATGGCTTCTGGACAAGTGCATTCAGTACTTTTTGAGGGTTCAGAAGTTTATGAATATGGTACCACAGATAACTTACAGTTTTACACCACAACATATGGAGATCCCGCTTCAGGCTACGCTCCCTCAACCAGCGCAGCTTATTATCCTCCACAAAACGTTCAAACATATCCAAATGCAGGTTATCATCCTGGGGGCACTGGAAGCTTTTGGAGTGCTTTTGGGACTGGAGGTTTTGCCGATGAACCACCATTATTAGAGGGTATGTAATTTGCCGGTCTTTACAGGGAAGTAGAAGAACATGTGTTTTCTTATAAGACAAATTTATTATAAACTCGATCCTCTAGTATGTTCTTGATTGACACTCGCACTATGTCCTGTTATTACAATTCCTAAAATTTATCGATTTTATTGTATAGAACTCGGGATCAATTTCGGACACATAAAATCAAAGGTAACCAACAGCAAAGAAAAAAAAACAGAATTCTATGTTTTGATGTCATCACTAATTTTCCTTTCTGACTGATTTAGAGCTTGGCAGTGTTGAATCCTCTCCGGACCGTTGATAAAAATATAATGGATGACACAGATCTAGCAGGGCCTCTCTTATTCTGTTTAATATTTGGAGTGTCATTATTGCTGGTAAGTTAATTCACTTATGTTCTTTTCAATTAATCTATTGTATGTATTCTTCAATAAAAATTTATTGGATTTTTCAGACTGGTAAAGTTCATTTCGGGTATATTTATGGGGTAGCTGTACTAGGATGGTTATCAATATATTCAATTTTAAATCTGATGAGTGAATCGGGATTGGATGGATATCGAACTGCTAGTGTATTGGGATATTGTCTTTTACCTTTGGTCATATTGAGTTTAATTGGCGTGATGGTTCCATTAAGGTAAGATTTCTAATCATGACCCGCGGTTGTTGGTTGAGAATGTTTAAACTATTTATTTAATAATTTTATATAATCAAAGTGGGCCAATCGGTCTAATCGCCTCTGGTCTCGCTATCGGATGGTGTACGTATTCATCATCGACAATGTTTGTCACCGTCTTGCAAATGTCAGAGCAACGTCTATTAGTAGGGTATCCAGTTGGAATGCTGTATGTATGTTTCGCGTTGATGACGATATTTTAAATGGTCAAAAGATGGGAAAATTATATATCTATCCGTTTGTCATTTATACTATTTTAGCAGTTTTTTGCGAAACATTATGTTTTCAAGATCATATAAATGATCGTACAAATGATCTTTTTTTTGATATTTAAATAAACTCTAACGTGTCTCATTAACGTTAACAATGATGGATCATCTTATATAAAACACATTTGCATAAATACTCTTCAATAATAATAAAGTAAGTACATTGAGTAACGGACGCTAATTAAAATCTCAGTATATAATAAATCCTAGATGTTAACGGATTTTTTTCTTCCATGAGAAACATAGAAACGCCAAATCATATTTTTCAAGAATATTAACCAAACGGATTGGTATTTCAGTTGAGCCAATACTGGTGATTGTAGCTAGCCAAAATCCGATTTGTACCCGATACTAGGCGTGCAGACTTATTATAAAGTTGCAACTCTAGTTACAACTCGCCAATGACGTATTAAAGTTGCAACTCTAAATATCATTCAACCAACTATTGGATGTATGTTGTAGGATGTCATATTTAGAGTTGGATGTCGTAACTGGAATCGGATGTCGTAACTGAAGTCGGATGTTGTGTTAGAGTTGGATGTTGTATAAAGTTGGATGTCGTATTAGAGTTGGATGTCATAACTCGAGTTGGGAAGCGGTTAAAGCGTAATCCATCACGTGATCCGAGTGGCTGATGTACGCTTCGGAATCGATTCTCCGACTCTCCGAAGGGAATGATAATCATAAATCATACATTTACCACAAGAGCTTCGCTCTGTATGTGTGTGTGCGTGAGAGTGTGTAATTTTGCCATTGCGCTGAACAAAAAATAAACTTTCCTACTTCGTATGATGGGTGGTTCATAGGCGATAATGTTCATTTTTACAAAAAATGAACAAAAACGAAGACCCAGATCAGTGAATTGGGGCGGAAGTTGGACAATAATAATTACACGGTTATGTGAAATGAAGAGGCGAGATGGATCGCTCATACAAAAGTGATTCGTTGCAGCTGTGCAAGTAGTCTTCGTCGAAGGGAATTATAAATTTAGAAATAAAATTATTGCTAATTGAGATAAAAACTTTTACAATCGTCGAAATATAATAAACGATTAAAGTATGCCCTATACAGTGTAATACTTCCAACTCTAATACGACATCCGACTTGAGTTACGACATCCAACTCTAATACGACATCTGACTTGAGTTACGACATCCAACGCCAGTTACGACATCCGACTCCAGTTATGACATTCGACCTTAGTTACGGCATCCAACTTTATGTCGGACAGTTGCAACTTATGGTCGGGCAGTTGCACCCCTACCCGATACAATACATGGGTCAAATAGCTGAAACTATCATTTCTATATACCCCCTGCCGAACAGTGTATTCCCCCGGGGTACAATTCATGGAGGGTATGATACTATAGTGGGTTATTCTAAATAGCAGATTACTATTCTGATTGTAAATATTTGTAGGGGAGAAACGGTTTCAAAAGCAACATCAGCTGGAAGAAAAATCGATTTACAGATTACACATCGAGATAAAAATCAAGGAAAAAATGTGGAGCTCAGTCATTCTCGTAGAATAACTTCTACCAAACTTATTAATGATTGCAGTAAATGTTTGAGAACCAATAAATCTGTTCTCGATTAATATCTTTCACAAGATCTATCCGATGAGATGATTGTGTAAGTCTTTTAATACATGTATTACATTGTTGCTTACTTATAAAATAGGAGCTCGAGGATGTTTTCACCCTTGGAATTCAAATTACTGGTAGGTAAAAAGATATGTTAAATCATACATTCAGTGATTTGTTTTTTAACCAAAAATTTCTTTTTATGCTATACAGACATAAGAGGGTCTATCTACTCCCTTTCATATGGATTTTACAATATTTATTAGAGGTGATTAATAACTTGTCACTAATTATTGATAATTACTCTGAATAAGTGTGATTATTCTACATTAGTTTTATTTCATTTTTGTTTTTTGTGGAATGAAATAGGTTGATCTAATGAAATCTGCCTTACGGTGATGGGGTTTCGATATTATTAAAGGGAACTGAATCCTTATTAAGACGCGATAGTGCTTCTGCTTTACGAATAATACTTTCCTAATATTTAAAGAATTATAAATATCCATCAACAATATATACCAAAAACCCTGTTTCCTACCTTAAAGAAATATAATCCTTCCAAAAGTTGGCTTCAGAACAGTAATATCGTGAATTTGAGTCGGAAACCTTAATGGTGGTCCTTCATATCCACGCTTCAAAATGCCAACGAGCAAAAGCGCGAAGGTCAAAAAGACGTCTATCACTTGCTTTTGGGAAATAATTCACGTGAAAAATTAAACTATCCAATCGTTTATAAGAATTATGCTTAGCCCAAAACTTTTGCCATTTAATTGTGCAATCCTCCAAAAATTCTTATTTGCCTTGAAGTTTAATTAAATGGCAAAGTTTCTACAGGGAAGGATACTATAAATATATGTTCTGAACAGGGTTACTATATGGAAAATGTTTTTGCTTGCATGTATCCATGTGACATTACTACCAGTCCGGATCAAATTATATCTGGATTAACTAAATCCGGATTTCACTACCCGGCTTTAGTGTTTTCCAATTAGATTGACAAAATCTTTAATAGCTGCAACCAGAAATGTCAGCTTCGACTCAAAATAACGATAGCGACCAAACAATCACTGGTCTTACAACCCTATCAAAAAATGCACAAAAACGTATTTTAAAACAGCAGAAATGGGAGGCTACTCGTGCACTACGCAAAGAGGCTAGAAAAGAAAAAGAAAAGGAGAAAAAGTTGCGAAAACGAGAGCAGCAAAAAAATGCGGATAACAAAGGTATCCAAACGGAAATTTAGTTGGAATTTGTATTTTACATTATTATTTTTTAATGATCGATAAAGATTCTGTCAAACCAAGGGAACCGCCGTTGAAAAAACAAAAAATTCAAACTCCGAGTTCAATGAAGGTTGTAATTGATTTGGATTTCGACGATTATATGAATGATAAGGTAAATGTCTTGAAATAAAAACAAGCAACTAGAGAGAGAGACGATTAAATGGACCTTTAACTATTTTAGGAGATTGTTGACCTTTCTGCACAATTGACTCGATGTTACTCTTACAACAACAATAAGGCAGTCAACCCGGTTGGTCTATTCTACACATCATTTAGCGGGCGTCTTCAGGAACGATTTGATACTCGCCTCAAAGAATATCACAACTGGAAAAATGTGATAATAGACAATAAATCATATCTAGAGCTTTTCCCTAATAAACAGGAACTTGTTTATTTGACGGCCGATGAAGAAGAAGTTGTGCTCCAGGAATTGGACGAGAGTAAAATATATATTATTGGTGGGATTGTGGATAAAAATCGGCACAAGGTTTTTATGTTATATTATGATTAATTCTCACTTTATATCCTTAAGATAACTAAAAATTTATATGTTTTGTTTGTATTGGTAAAGCGATTATGTTATCATAAAGCGAAGCTAGAAGGTATTGCTACCGCTAAATTACCGATCAGTCAGTACATCAAATTAAATTCGAGACATGTACTCACTATTAACCATGGTAAATTGATCTGTTTATTCCAAAATCGAAAAAAATAATTCACGAAAAATTTATTGCTTTTCTGGTTTATTTACTTTTTTTTTCTACCAAAGTATTCGAAATTCTCGTTGATTGGCTAGAAACTAAGAATTGGCGAGAGACTCTATTAAAAGTTATTCCGCCTCGAAAATTTAATCCAGATGGTAAAAAACAAAGACGCGGGGCTGCAAAGAAAAACCCGCAATTAAATAATGATGAAAAGAATATGGCAAAGATAGAATTAAATGAGAAAAGCGAGTTATTGGGGGCGAATCAAAGTGAAAAAATAGTGATAGATATTAGCGCTTCGAGCAATGAGGAGGAGGAGGAGGAGGAGGAGGAGGAGGAGGAGGAGGGGGAGGGGGATAAGAATAATGATGATAATGAGGGTGAAAATAATTTAAATTAAAAAAAAGACAGACCAAATGCATATGCAGAACATTTGATAAAGTCATGGCCATCCATCGAATATTATACATTTTAAATAATCTAATCAAGATAAGTATATTTAAAATAATTAATTATCCAAAGTGAATTTTTTAAAAATTACTTATAATGCTAGTGCTGCCATTATTTAAACGAATAGTTCTTATAAATAGGTACAAAAACATTTTAAATTAAAAGTATATTACAATTGAAATAAATTCTATCCTAAAGGAACTTCGAGAAAAATTATTTCAATCCAACAACCATTATTATTAGTGTTATTATCAAGGAACAACAGCACGAATAAAAAATTAATCTTCTCCTGTTGGGATTTCTTCTTCAATTGTACGAATTAATTTCACACGCATTTCAGTCTGATCGTCACCACGCAATACATCACTTATGAAATTAGCTTCAACCTGCATTTGCACCTAACAAAAAAAAATAAAAAAATGTCAAACAACATTAAAATTCAAACATTTCATAATAAATACATGGTAAAAATCATCATTACCATTTCCAAGGATCCTCTCAAGACACCACATAGTATGTTGGAATACCAAAGATCTTCGTTCGCCGAGTTATCTTCCGGTAATTCAACGAATTCCGCTAACGGATTCTCGTCAAACACCAATGAAAATTCTTGATTATTCGATGTCCAGTTTGTGACTGAAGGCGTGATATTTAAAAAGATTTTGAAACCTATCTATGAAGATAAAACAAGAGATGAACTAAGATTTGAATGGGGAACGATAGTTGAAAAGTTACTTTTTTACCTTAGATATCACTTCGGCTGTTTCACGAAAATCTGCACATCTGCCTAAACTAGCTCGTGCTAAGAAATCTTCAATTAATCGTACACCAATGTTATAGCCCCTATTTAATAGTTAAAATTGATTTACGAACAACATGGTCTTTAAACATTCTGAAGTATAAAACATTGAGATAATTAAAAAAAGACTAACATTTTCTCCAATTGTTTATTGACTTCTTGATAATCTTCATAATCTTTCACTAACTGCGCGACAATAGATCCATATGTTAACGTGAATAACTCCGCGTTCTATAAAAGAAACCGGTTAATAATTAAATAGATATAAACAAAAATAAAAATCAAGGTTAATCGAGTTTTCGAACTTTTTTCAAATTCTCTTTTCTTATATAATGTTACTGACTATTTTTTCGACACGGTTTTTCCACACGTCTTCGCCCAAAGTTTTGTATTGTTTGGTGGACATTTTCTAAAGGTTAAATTTAATTATTGTTATCCTCTGTGAGATGTTGGTTTAAATAGGTGGTACAATAAATTTGATTTTCATTTTCATTAATGCGCAAAAAATTTGATTTATTTCCTTCACTACATTCAGTGGAAACAAATAATGTCAACTGCTATCGAAACAAGTATTCGACGACGTGACTTGGTGTTTGGAATCGCGTTTATAACACGTCTTTTACTTTTTCAGTTTTCTGAAGTAACGGATATATTAGCGAGTAGGGTAGAAGTTGTCACGCCAATTACAAGTTTCACGAGACGTATGTGAGTGAGTTTAGTTGGTCAAACAATATTACTCTAGCGAAAGTTGATTTTTCCTTGAAATTATAATAAAAATTAATAAAATAATCTTTAAATATAAAATAGTTACCGAAGGTCTCTACCTATTTCAAAATGGTGTTCCACCTTATGACGGCGGTGTTTTTCATCAAGTAAATTTTCGATTTTACATTATCATCATAATTTTCGAATACATGATCACTAATAATTTTCAAAATTTACAAAAGGCACCACTCTTATTAGCGTTTTTTCAGCCGCTAAGCTACCTTCCAGATCAATTCACTTCCTTAATATATATATTGATTGATCTCTTGCTGGCGTATCTCTTGAGTCAAATTTCACGAATAAAACAGCAATTGTATAAAGATTTGCCACGTGTTGATGATATTGAATTAATTGATGATAATAAAAATGAAGAAGAGGAGTCAAGTTGGGTTGTAGCTGGATTGTAGGTATTTTTATTTGAATTTCCATTCTTTTTATTAATCGTAATTTTATAGTTTCTGATCAAGTTCTGGTATATTTATAGATATCTTTTTAACCCATTTACGATAGCGACTTGTTTATCAAAATCTACAATAACATTTACTAATTTGTCGATTGCATTGGGAACTTTTTATTCTCTTAAAGGTAGTGCAACTTTATTTTCTTTTTGAATTTCTGTTTTTTAGCTAGTATGCTCTAATGTTTAGTTTGTTGAATTAACACTAGGAAATAAAATTCACGGGTGTTTCTGGATTGCGATGGCAACGTATTTAAGTTTTTATCCATTAATGCTCATAATACCGATAACAATGTTATTGGTAAATTCTGGAAAAATTATGTCTCGAACTCCACCTCAACAAGAATCATTTTCTTCATCTTCATCAAAATCAATTACAATTTCGAAAAAGGTAAAAAATTCAAATCTTCAATTACATATTAAAAAAAGGTCTAAGATCAATTTTTGTACATTTCCAGATCGAGATTGCACAGTGTATAATACTGTATATTGGATGGTTAGCAGTATTATTACTTTTGTCGTTTATCTTGGTTGAGTCTTGGGATTTTTTGGAGGCCACCTATGGTGTCATGTACGTAAATCAGACCATTTTTGTTGTTTCATAACGTTTAATTCTGATTATTAATTATGATCTAATTACATAATTTTTTATTGTAGTCTTCTTTTGCCAGACCTAACCCCAAATATCGGTCTATTTTGGTACTTTTTCATTGAAATGTTTGACTCATTTCGAGGATTCTTTTTAGTGGTGTTTCAATTGCACGCGTTTATTTTTGCTGCGCCGATTTCTATAAAATTTAGGTAAATAATTATGATAATATTAATTTCCTTATCGGGTATTATTATGAGAAATTTAAAGTCTATTTATATAAAAATAAAAAGAGACCATCCTCTTTTTGTTATTTTTTTATTAGGTGGTATAATGGCTGTGTTTAAATCATACCCATCAATTGGTGACGCGTCTTTCTATCTCGGATTTTTACCGATATATTCGGAAATTGTAAAATGTAATTATCTCAAATATTAGTCATGCGAATTATCATTATTTGCTAATTAACATAAATATTCAAAAACACGTTTATATACACAACCATTCAAATAAATAGACATGCGATACAACTTTTTCACCACAAATATATTCCTCTATTCGTCATTATTAGCGCCGATTTTCTATCATTTATGGATATACGCTGGAAGCGGAAACGCCAATTTCTTTTATGCAATCACACTAGTATATAGTGTTGGTAATATCATATTGTTGGTGGACGCGACATTTGCAATGTTACGACGTGAATTTGATGTTTGGAATCCAAAGTTACGGTATTGCGAGGTCACGCAACGTTAGAACATCTTTTAGTTGTTGAGGGATGTGTATGTGATAGGGAAGGATAGAGAGAGGAGAATTGAAAGATAAGAAGAGTTTGGTTGGTTCATTATAAGAAGGATATTGAATATTTTTGATTAACTACTCTATGTAAATAATATTGGGCCTATTTAGATCATTATATGGTCCTTTCTGACGGCATTATCATTATTTGATAATCAATTTTTTTGTATTAACTTCACGATTAAATTTTCATATTTAAAGTATTAAGAGATATATATAACTTCACATTCTTTGCCAGAAAAATCACCTTGAGAAATGCCAAGTACATTGTTAAAATAAATTTATTAGTTTCTTAACTTAAGGAATGACTAAAACCTCCGTAAATTTTTTCCGCGCCTCTTCTACAACCGAATTATTATGTGAGGAGAAACAGATTCTCAAATATAATAAACGTCCATCAAATGAAAAATCAATGTCAAACAACCATCAAGTAATCTTGTTGAGGCCTAATGCTAATGTCTGCTTCAATGGAGTAGAATTTTTGAAAAAATTTTTTAAAAAAATCAAATAACGTTACATTTTTAGTTTCATAAATCTTTACTCAATATCTCATAATCGTATTCCTCTGCCTCTTTTGGATCTAAATATAAACTCGGAGAGATCCCGTCAATTTCGTATCTTTTATAAAAAAAAATAGATTAGCAATAATCAACAATCAAATAGAATAAAAACATAGCTTGTCAATTGGTTAATTACCCGAGATGTTTGTAATAGAAATTCAAGGCTTTCGTATTTGCTTTATTAAAAAAATGGGAAAGATTTAACTTACGACTTAAATAACTGAATTATCGATGATTTGTTATTTACAATACCTTTAAATATCGTCAACATACTTTTCTTCATTTTCCATCGTCTGCCCAGATCTTCCATCGTTCGCATGAGAAAGGTCCCAAGTCCTTTTCCTCTTGCATGTTCTGTGATTTGGATTTCGTAACTTTTTACAAATATGTAATAAATAATAGATAATCGAAAATCTAAAAAAAAATAAAAATTTTCATCACACATCACATACCAATAAATCACTTCGACCTCTTCATCATCCATATAATAATCCTCATTTACATATTCATTAGCATCGTCATTTTTATTTGCCACCTCTTCCCATGAGAATTGGAATAACAAGAACCCCAATAATTCACCATCTTTGCGTAATTTTTGTTCACAATCCTGTTGTTGTCCTTTACTAGCATCTTGTTCCTTAGTATTATCATTTTTACGACGCGCAATCAAGTAACGAGCATGAGGTTCACGCATTTCGTCCAGTTTCTCGCGTGGATTCCATCCGTCATTTGATTTTTTGTAGCTAAATCCAAGATCAAACATATTACAATCATAAACTGCTCAATAAAATTGAAAATATCCGCAAACATTAATCTATGTTGATTCATACAACTCTCTGACATTTCGTTTCACAAGGTTAAAAGTCCATTGCGCAAGATCATTCGGCAAATTGGAAATTGGATATGATTCTATTGTCACAATGAATCTTTGATTGATTGTTTGTTGTTGAAAATTAATAATATCATTAAGTGCTCCGTCCAACTTTATTAGTCAATAATGAATTGAACGTACTCTTCATCGTATTTGTATTCGACAGGCCCAAGAAACCCGAGAACATTTGTTTCCTTTTTAAATTTTAATTACATGGCATACTTTTAGCATATGAATAAATAGGAAACTCAATATCAAATTATTTAAACCTCGCTAGCAATATCGACAAGACTTTTCTTGTGTTCCATTGTATTTATCGTGGTATTTTTTCATAGAAAAATATTTGATCTCGTGGATATTTTTTTTTAAATTTACATTTGATGATTTGATGATCTAAACGCTCTAAATATTTTTTTTGAAGATTTCAGCTTTTTATTAAGATTAAAGTTTTTCCAAGCTGTTAATTACAAAATTAATATTATTATATCGATATATATATATATATATATATATACATGTATGTATATTTACTATCATGTATCAATGCATGCATGCAAAGATAATCAATAGGAATCAATTTTATATTATTAGCTAATGAATTTACGATAACGATAAACACCAATTCCCAATTAAGCAGCATACATTAATACTTTCAAATAATCTAAATAATACTAATGATTAATAGATTTATAGATAAAAAGATACACACACGCAGAAGACAGACAATTACACAATTGTGAGAAGATAATATAAAAAAGGTTGTCCCGCTAATAATCTGTGTATGACTGTCTGAATAAAAAACCAAAATCCTAGAAATCAAAAAAAAAAATAAAAAAAGAAAAATTTAAAGGGGATGATAAAGTTTAGGGTGTGTTGTTTACAAGAGAAAATAAATTTATTCAAGTATTTTATATTGAAAAGTGAAGATGAACTACTAGCGTAAGAGTTTTGATTATGGTATGTGTATGATTTATAAATATGAATGCGTACATTAAGGTGAATTACTGCCATTTCCGCTATTTCCGCTTTGCTCCGATTTTCGACGCTCTCGCTCGCGTTCTCTTTGCTCACGATCTCTTTCCCAGTCGCGATCTCTTCGATCTCTATCACGATCTCTGTCACGTTCTTTAATATCGCGTTCGGAGCGTTCGAGTCGATCACGATCACGATCTCTGTCACGTTCTTTATCGCGTTCGGAGCGTTCGGGTCGATCTCTGTCCCGTTCTCTTTCGCGTTCGGGTCGATCACGATCTCTATCACGATCACGGTCTCGCTCAGATCGATCACGATCACGTTCACGTTCACCACGATCATTTCTCTCACGTTCTTGTTGATGAGAAGATGATGATGATGATGACGTAGACATAGAGTGTGATTCTTCCGACACAGAAGCTCTTGGAGAATTTTTACTTTTCTTTGTAGGCACATCCTCGCGTGCTCGATCCTCTGTATCGATATCGCCTTTTGGTGGGCTATAAGGTCTTTTTTGCCCAGTTGGTGACGAAGAATTATTTACTGGCGAGGTGCTCGAGGAAGCACCCACTTCACTCATGCTAACTAAAACATCAGCCGTATCATCGTAATCTTCGTCTACCTGCCGTGAGGATGTAGATGTAGAAATGACAGGTGGGTTAATTATATTTCTATCCGACGAATTTGGTGGCGTTGTACGAAAATTTCCAAGACTTGATGGATGTTTTACATTATCGACAGTATCCAACGGACTATCTGGCGTAGCTGCAACACCATTATTATCCAGGATGCGAGATAAGTCGGGCGATCTCGATTCAGGCGGTGATCGAGGACTTGTTTCGTCATTCAAGATGTTTGGCTTATGATGTTCAACTCGACTTAAATGTTGTGGAGGCTGTTGCTGTGGTTGTTCCACCATAGAATTTGAAGATTTTCGTGAAAGTGGCGGTAATTCATTATTATTGGCGTTATTATTGTTGTTATTGGGGGTGGTAGTGGTGTTATTATTATTGGCATTAGTAGTATTATTGTTATTGTTGGTGGCAGTATTGGTATTGTTGTTGTTAGTATTACTAGGAGAAGTAGTAGGCATTGATATTGAACTAGGACTACGCATATCGGGTACGAAAGGACCATTTTCTCTCACCGGTGATTCATGCGGAATAGATGTTCTTGGAGTTGATGGTTCAGAGGCTTTTATTTCCGGGAGGTTTATTGAATTTGATCTTCTTCTGTCGTGCATATCTTCCGATCGAAACGTATGAATTGGGGGGACCACATTTCCGCTACCAACTTTCTCATCATCAACGGATTGTTCCGGTATTCGATGATTAACTACATGATCAAGTGGAACTGCATGATCAAGTGGTGGTGGAGGCGAGGCATTCAAAATTTGTTGAGGTGGCACTCTTGATGGTCCATGCTCGACGATATTATTCGAGACGCCATCAACTGAAGTATCTTCGGGCTTCATTGATGAATCTCGATGATACTCGTGATGATTATGATGATGTGATGAGTGGCCTTCGTGGCTATTAGATATTGGTGGCGGTTGTTCGCTAATATGATAAGGTGGAATACCATTATGTTTATCTTCTCCCTTTACTTTTGTTGGGTCATAAATTTCTTCGCGACGATCATGAAGAATATCGTGGTGAGGGACAGAATGTGATGAATGAGGTTGCTGATGAGAAGACTGATGAGGAGGCAAAATAGGTGGTGAATATTGTTCGGGACCTGGTAATTTTGGTGATGCCAAAGTATAGGGTTGTCGACCGGATGATTGAGGTTCGGGTAATTGAGGAGAATATCCACGGCTGCTACGGGATTCGGAAATAGGGGGCATCTGCGGAGAAGGAGAAGGACGCTTTTCCATGCGCAATTGTGAAGTCGTCTGAGGTGGAGGTGGAGGTTGTGATTGCTGACCTAATTGACGGTTATCATGTTGAGATGGTGGCATCATGGGACTCAAAGTATTATGATGATTTGGCGGCGTAGTTGGTTCACCACGAATATGAGGAGGCAAAGGATGATTATATTGCGGAGCTGGGCTTCGACGACCTGTATTCATAGGAGGCAAATCACGTCCACTACCTTGCACATTATTTGGAAAATTAACAGGTAAAGGTGGAGGCGGAGGATGTGACTGTCGATTATCCATTCTCCCATAACCTCCTAAACCTGGCATACCTGGAGGACCTGGTGGCCCAGGAGTGGGATGAGCGAATTGTGGTGGTGGCGGATTACTCATCATCGACGGCGAATTATTATACGCCTGCGGATTCACGTCTTGTGGAACCGGAGCGGTAGTTTGTCCACCTTGTTGCTGTTGATTTCTAAGCATTTGCAAACGTTGTTTAATGTGTGGATTGTCTTGGTCTAGTTCATGAGCTCGTTGATAGGCATCCAATGCATCGCTTATTTGATTGTTACATGACTCGTACAGTGTGCCGAGGTCGTACCATACTTCACTGATGTATGGGTTTAGACGAATTGCTCTGCTGTAGGCGTCTAACGCATCCCGAAACTATAAGATTGATATTAATACATTTAGTCTACTAAAAAAGATTCGAAAATTATCGAAATAAGAATGGTACCTGGTTTATTTGATAATATAACACGCCAATGGAACACCAGAAAGTGGGGTTACGCCCGTCGCGATAACTATATTGTACATATAGAAATAATTTAGCTTCATTCTTGTATAATTGTATTCAAGTCGCTGTTGAAAATGATAAAGTTTATACTTACACCGCTTGCTGATAAGCCTCATATGCCTTATTGTATTTTTGTTGTGCCATGTAGCAGCGTCCGAGTAGATACCAGGATTGAGCATCGTTACCATCTTTGGATTAATTAATTAATTAATTAATACAATAATTATGATATTCAATATCATTAGTTACAATACAAGTAAAAAAAAAAACACACACCAGACTCCAACGACTTGGTCAAATATTGGATTGCCATATCTTGATTCCCGAAATTAGCATTCTGTTGATGGTAAAGCCAACCGAGCTGTTGCAGCACTTTAGCGTGATTTGGATTGTCGGTGAGGACACGTTCATATGCCTCTTTAGCTAATGTGTACTATTTATTACACGAAACGATCAGGTTTTGTCTTCGATTCTGAAAGTAGATTTTGACATTTGGTGATAGAGGTTAATTAGTTGTGCTTACATTCTTTTGTTGCTCATATACGTGTCCGATTTGAAACCAAATATCTACTTCGGTGAGTGGTCGTGGTGGATTATGAAGAATGTATTTAAAGCACTAGACGAATTAAATTATATGAATGAAGGATGTCATTAGAAAATTTAATTTTTATCAAATATATTACGTAATTTTTATATTCTAAAATATTAATTTACCCCCAAACTCATCTCGTACTTATGTTGTTGCTTATAAATAATGCCAAGTCGAAAATAAATCTCATTTGCCTTTTCGAATTTCGGTTCCATAGACATTACTTGCGAGAACGCCTCTTCAGCGTGATCAAGAGAACCATATCGATCATATAGTATACCGATACCATACCAGAGTTTTGGTTCCTGGAAGTTTTCATTGAATTAATTAACAAAATTCTCAGTTTGGTCCATTATTCTGTGATTATTGATTATAATTATGTACCTTTGGATTCGGTAAATGGTAAAGTGCCTGTTGATACGCACTGTAGGCTTTTTGTAGATCATCCATCATTAAATAGCAATGACCTATTTTTTCGTTAACGTTTTATTAAGAATTAGAATCCGTTTTCAATAATCAAGGCAGGAAAAGAAAAAATTATAGGTACCTAAAGCACCCCATATTTCACCGTTCGTCTGATCTATATTCAAGATGCGATTAAAGTACTCAACGGCCTAAATTAATTCATAATTCAATTAAAAAATTTTTTGGTAATAAAAAAAATCCATCAAGATAAATACCCTTGGAAATTGCTCTCTTGCTCTACAAAGAGCTGCTATGTGGCCTAACGCTTGAATAGAATATGCATTTTGACGAAGTGCTGATTCATATGCGTTCATGGCTCGATCGTAATCTAGCATCATCTCTGCTACTTCGCCTATTCAACATTTTTCGTTTATGTATGAAATCAAAAAATCAAGGTCAGTGTATGTTAGACAGCTATGAAGATCTGAGGAATTAGAGTGTTAATTCAATCGGTCAAATAAAGTATCTCCATAATTTTGGATGAGATTTGTGTGACACAAACAAAAAGCAAAAACATCTAAATTGGGCTAGAACAATGCTGTATTTGGACTACTTCCAAATAATCTAGTGTGTCCAAATTAACTTGGTTAAAATGTCCAAATGGCGGTTTATATGTCCAAATTGTCCAAATGCCCAACACTGGGCTAGAATGTGTAAACAGACATCAACTTACCCAACTGCAGCCATGTTTGTTCATTAACCTGTGCTAATTTTTGAAGCGATGGTGGTTGTCCGTTTGTTGTCATTTTTACATCGCCTAATTTACCAAAGACCAAAAATTTAATAAATTTGCGACTTCTTAGGTTCGTAAATGTTAACGATGCAAATGCGTTTTTCCCAATATATACTTTTAACAAGATGACAATTTAACACCAACGGAAGAAAAGAGTATTATTAAAAGAAACCCTAGGACAATTGTAATAGCAGTAGAATATTTGAGATAAGGAAAAAAAAACAACACGGATGAATAAAAAAAGGGAGAAAAAGGTGCGCGGATTGGGGGTTTATTAAATATGTGTGTATTTTTGTCAGAATAGGATTAGTCTGTTAGTCGAGTGACAATCATTCGGGCGTCTATATAATAATCTACAACAAATAAAGAGCTTACAATCCACAGCTTTGTATTACCAAATAGAAATGGCACTAAACTTTTTCAAGTTAAGCACGAAAATGCGCATGAATGTTTGTCTCTTTTCAAAACGACGCTTACTTAATTAAGATTATGCGTACTTTTAGTTGTTGTCCATTTATCTTCTATGATGATGATACTAATAAAGCCGATTATATAACGTTAATCAATCAGTATTTATTGTTTTGATTAAAAATGATCGACAAGGCGTGTAAATCCCAAAAATTATTCCAAAGTCTGTTCGTAGTCTCTCTTTCCCCGCAAGATAAAATCAGTTGATTTTAGCACTTGTTTGTATTTAATTTTTAATTTTATTATAATAACAATGGAATTTTAGTGAATTCAGCTTTCGTATGAGAAAAGGACGTATTATGAGAAAATATCAACTATTTATAAATATTACTATTCACTATATATCTTTCGGGAGGCATTAAGATTTCATTTCCCCCCTTCCCCCGAATATTTACGATGAATTATTGCAATGTTTAGGAAAGACTAATTCATACTAGTCTCGCATGCTTATTCATCATCATCATCATCATCATCATCATCATCAATCATAATCATCATCATACCACAACAATAAAAAAATTTCACTATCGGAACAACACCAGAAAAAAGGAAACGAAAAGAATAAAAGTGTGGGACTACTCCATACTGTATACAGTTAATTTTCCTGTGGAACTCTGTGCTTAAAAGTGAGTGTATTATAATTTTATATATATATATATATATATACATATATATATATATATATATAAATATAATTATCAGGTTTGTATGTGCCTTAACTTGTTATTGTATAGTCTATTATTCATTCATACAATAATAAATAACGTAACGATAATCATTGGTTAATTACGCATACAATATAAATACCATAAATCATAAAATTTGGGTATTTGAGTTGTGATCATTGTGGACATTATGATTATTAACGACGTTCCTCTCCCTCCGATGACACATGGATTCAAATTCTGTTATATTTATGTCGCTTTATATTTATATCGTTTTGTCCTCCCCTGTTTTTTCATCAATTTAGTTGGGATACCAACCACATGTAGATTTTACAATTAAACTTTGACCACACATACATTCAATGATTTCCTAATAAGTCTAGCGTCTTTTGCTACACGAAATTTATGGTTAGAAGTATGATTGACACATTACACATACATACATGTAAATATAGCAATATAGTATTAATATGTATCAACAACAAAAACCGAGAAATAAGCCTTTTTTTTTCCTTTGATTGTCTGGGCTCTCTCCTGTATATGTGTACAGAACGTTTATTATTATCCCATTCATCCTTTTGTGTTGATTAACACAAAAAATAACATATCGATCGATATTACCCATCTAACTAATACATACATGATAATATGATTACGAAACTTAGCTGTATGGCAGATCTCTCTGCTTGCTGAAGTTCTTGCCTAGAGATAACTATTATTAGTAAGAATTATCATACTAATCTTTAGCATTCGTGGATATCTCACATGTTTATCCTAAATTATTTTAGCGCTCATACCAATACTTAATTATAGACATGTGTTCATTACCGAGAAATTAATAAATTTCACTCAGCGAACACGAAATAAGATCGAAAAATATTTTTTCTATGTATATTTAGAGCAAATTTAATTCTATCGCTATACCAATTATGAAAGAATTAATGCAAGAACAAGTTTTCCAATATAAATTAATCCGTAATTGCGATATCACGTTGAATAAAGAAGAGGATAGTGGATCATAAGATTTAACTTTTTACTTAACTATATACTTGTTAGAGTACAAGCATGCATTTTAATCAGGGTTAACCCTTGAACCAGTTCAAAATGTTATCCTACATAATTAAATTAATAATTTTTTCAAAAAAAAAAAACTGTCCAAACTGCCAAGGGCCAAACCCTGATTTAATAAAGAAAAGGAATATTCCAGGGTTTCTTGGGCCTATCGAAAACTTCAATTTATTCAATGATAATGTTTTGGAGAAAGGGAAAAAATTGTGATTGGACTTTTAACCTTGTGAACCCAAGCGTTGTGCGAATCTATATAGTATATTGCGTGCAAGTTTTATCTTTAGAATAATTTCAACAAGATAGATGATCTTTGTTGTTAGTAAAGATCACTTCGATTCAGTTCTCGTGGAAACGATGACGTAGGTAATTCACATGATGCAGTATTTTTTTAATCTTTAAGATTGTATTTACGAAATCCAAGTCAAGAAGCAGCATCGGGATATGGCATATAAGTTATGATTCAAACTATATAAGGATCATATCAATACTGGCAAGATGAACTTGGAAGATCTGAGCGGACAATGGAAAATGGTGCATATATAGTGTGATGTGATATACGCACATATTAATATTAATTTATTGAATCCATTCGGGTAGTTTTTCCTTATTAGCGTTTATATTATTTTATGATTTGCAAAAATATAGGTTGACGGTATCCTTCCCAGTGTATGCTTAAATCCAAAAGAAACGGTGGAATATAGTTATGATATTTTGAGTAAGGACGATTATGATATTTATAAAGGTGATATATATAGATCTACTCTAGAAGGTATAATAGTATTCTCGTTAATATCAGATTGTTAAAACAACTACCACTACTCACTTGTTCTGACACTTATTGATCGAAACATTTAGCGTGATACATAAATTAATGATTATTTAATTCCAGGTTAGATCTTCATCGTAATAGCAAACTTTATTACAAATTCACATTTGGATTTTTTAATCCGTTGTTTGTCAAACGCTGATGCTGTATCAAGAAGGAGCTTCAAACATTAGAGTTGAGTGAGTTGATGTATTCCCAATATCCCCGTGAAAAGAATTATTAGATGAACTTAATACAAAAGTAGTACCCAAAACTGGATCTATTGGTTGATGCGGAGATGATAGAGATGACGATGATAACGAAGGTGACACATTAATGAAAGGTTTTGTGGTGTTGGATTTCGGCACAGATAAAAATACCGATGATGATGACGGCGAATTGTCGATATCAACATTATTATTGTTGATGTTATGAAAACTGCAAATAAATAATGGAAGCGAAATTTTCGATAATCATAATAATTACTACTATGATATAATATATTTATATGCAGGTAAAAATTTAATACCTGTGATTTTCTTCCATTTCAATTTCAATTCCATCACCGTTTGGAATATTTAAAGATGAACGCAATAAATCCATACTTGATGTTTCTTCATTATCTTGAATATTAGTGCTATTATTTTTTCGAGAAGCCTTGCTAAATTTTGCAAATAAGTTAAATATTATGGCTGAAAAATAATTGATTACTGGTCTGTACATCAAGAAATAAAAATAAATTATTAGAATCAAAAATATACGGGAAAAACAAATCTTAGGTAAAAATTTTTTTAGAAAAATACCTGATAAATTCGGGAAAGAAACACGAAAATGCAAAAGTGTCACTTTGATCCCCGCGACTTCCATCAGAATTGACACGAAAGAAGCGAAGATATGTCCACGAAACGATCCAGCCAAATTGGATCAAGAATAGTTGTGATTGTGCATCAAATACAAAGAAGTAGACGTTGCTTAGTCCAAGGAGAACACCCGGAAGATGCTAAATAATATTCCAAAAATGTATCAACAATACTTATAGTAAATACGCGCGCGCGAGATATACTTTTTTTTATTTTTATAAAGTAATTTTTGCAAAACTTTAATCATCATCATGAATCAGGTAATCGAAGAAAAATTACCTTTGCCCTAGTAGAAAAAATCACAAAATTTATCAACATTTCTGGATCAAGTTGCATCAACGCAACCAAGAACCCCATTGCCAACCCCACCATACCATTTACTTGAGTTTCATATCTTTATACATCGTCACATATAAATCGTAAAACAAAAAAAGCTCGGTTATGCTTCTTCAATAACAATGGAGAAACAAAAATGTATTGATTCAAATAGTAACTCACAAGTAGCGAAGGTTTTTCGTAAATCCATATTCAATTAAATAGGCAAGCCATGTAATTACGTAACTTCCAACTGACACTATTCCGACAAACTTTAGAAATTCACGTGGTCCCCAGGCACGTTCCAAGTGTGGACCAAGTGCAAGCATTGTTATCGTGCTTCCGAACAACTAAAAACAGAGAGGGACTAATTTATTTGCTATAAATTTTTTTAATTTGACCAAGTACCAAATTCCTATTCCTCTTGCGGAAAAAACACCCTACCCACTGTAGTCAAATTAGTTTCCAAAAACCCTGCTGTGACAAGCGTCCAAATATGTTGTATGGTATAACCAGGAACCATTGTTAAAGAATTCAGCACATTTTTTTCGTTAGGTGGGTTCTGTGTCCACTGTCGGTATCTTAATACTACTCCTAATGATGACAGGCCGAAAATAATAAGGGCGAGGGCGGTCGTGCATGGTGTAAAACTATGTAATAATCCAGTTGTCTGCAAATATGTAAACGGGTAGAACTGAAAACTCGAGTCGAACGGGAAATTAAAATATAATATTTACCTTCCGAATAAGCATTCTTGCAAAGAAAATGTTTAGGAGATTATTGGTGTTACATTCATTCATATGTTAAAAAAAAAAAAAAAACGCGTGTGTAAGTCACTGATAATTCTATTATGGCTAAATCGTTTTGGGAGTCTTTCAAATCCCTGCCACCCCGAACTCGCATTTATCTAGGAATAGGTTCATGTCTCAGGCAGTTTTTTGTGGTTTATTTATGCCATATTTAAATATATCGAGAAAAAGAAGTTCTCGATATCTGAATAACCGTTTCGCCAATAATATTATTATTATTACTATTACTATTATAAAATACATTAATCTGTAGGTGGAATAGCTATTGGTTTGACGGGAATTTATATCAGTGACAAACTCGAAGAAAAGTTTCCTGATAATACACCATCAAACCCACCCACAAACGTTAGCAGCCAGACCGAAAACGAATTTCCAAGTCTCAATAAATAGGTGATAGTCAAGAAATAAATGAAGATAATGTAAAATAATATATATCAATCTCCCCGTCTTCCCTCGATGTAATCTTAAAATTACGTATAGCATAACTGACGCGTTCCTCATTGGATCAGCTAGAAGTTGGTGAAATATATGTGGTGTGATAATTTTTAAATTTGATTTGGAAATATCTTTGAGCACCGTGGCATCTTCATTATCGTCAAAATCTTTGTCATATAGACATATTCTTCGAGTATTAATAAAATACCGAGCAGATATTCTTTAAGTCATATAATTTTTCGAGAATGTAAGGATGCAGATGACGACGAAGTTGTTGCGGAAGAAATCATAGGAATAAGATCCTCTTTTTTCTGTAGCAGCACGGTTAGGACATTTTTTAATAATCCAGCCTTGTTCTTTGCCGGGATTGCATCGATATTTTGCGTATTTGGATCTAAAACATAAAATTGTATATCAATACTCGTATTATAAAAATAATCCACTAAAATTCCAATTCCACATGTGCAGCAAAATACTGATATTATAAACAAACCAAAAGAGGGCAACGCATTGTCATTTGCGCTCAACGAAATAAAATACGCAAAAGGAACAAGCCACACGCAAATTCCAAAGAACGCTGCGATATCCATGAATCGGAAGTACCGGGATGTAAAATATTGAAACCATAGAAAATGATCAAATATAACAAGTACTATTAAGTAAAAGAAAAAAGAAAAAAAAACGAGGAATCAATAAAAATAAGCCAGAGATATGTTTGTTGCTTTCATAAAAAACAATTACCACAACTAGCCACAAACGGTAAACTCTTCAAATTAATGTAAGGGAACGTCGCAAGATTCAATGAGTACACCCCATGACATGTTATAGAAAACGTGATACGCCAAAATGGGAATCCATCAAGTAACCATAACAGAATTTGTGCAATTACTACAAGCTATTATCGACATTATATTTATCGCATGGATTAAAAGTTGAGAATCCCGATAAGATACAGATCGAAGTGAATAATTTTTTTTCGCGCGCCATGATAATAGGATTTTAATAGTACGTACCACAGTTACATTCTTTATGATCTTTCGAGTCATTACTGTATACTCTTCTACAAGCTCGGCTAAATATGTCCACATTTGGTAAATAGAAATTTGAGAATCATATTATTACGAATTGAAAAATAAAAGGACAAACAGACGAGTTAAACCATTTCAAGCGTACTTAACACGCCTATATATTAAATCCTAAAATACATTACCTAGATAATATAAACCACATGCTATCAAACGCATAAAAAGAATCGGAGATTAATAGTTGTTCTACAAGATCTAAAATCCCCTTTCACAAATTGACTCACTCCGCTTACTCACCTAGGCTCAATGTGAGAAATACAAATGCAACGAGGGCACCAACATATGATAGAATATGCAAGAAATTCATACTTTTGCTATTATTTTGAGACTGTAGAGTTTTGAGACTGTAGAGTTTTTGATCTGAACTGTAGAGATACGCGTGATAATTTTTTTAGAAACCATTTTTGTGTGACCGCGCGCATCATTGATTGGTCGTTAAATTAATGTTCATTTATTATTATATTAAAGAACACGTTGGCAAGCATTTATTCAAACACAATAAATAATTCACACTTTGACTTGGTGGAGGAAAACGGAAAAAACACAAATTTATTTTCAGGATGGAGGCTATTCTCCATGATTGAACACATTCAAGAGTAATCTTTTAGTCGAAAATTCATAAGTTCAAAGATTTTAAGTCTTTTTCCCTATATTCCAGCCCATACTCTGTAACTTTCTCACTAATGGAGGTGTCACCGCAGCGGTAACACCCAATCGCAACGGTAATAAGAGTTTATGAATTAAATACGCAATAGCTAGTGTACTCATCCAAGATGGTGTCTGTTGAGCTTTATGTTTAGAATTATCATTACTATGCATATTCGTTGTAGTAGCATCATTTTTTGTCACCATCACAGTGGTATCCTCTTGACCAGGAATCGTTCTTGCAGTAGGTGTAGTAGGATTATGATCCTTCTCAACATGAAGATGTCTCGTATTGATGCCGAAAGTCTCCGTAATCCAATCCTCAACTTTCTTGACTCGTTCACCGCCCCCGCTTTGTATCAGTATAAGTGTGGCGGCCAAATCTATCGCAGAAATTGCAAAATAGACTACAACCGCTGAGGCACCATACTGTCGAGTCAACAATTTAAGACGGGAAAACATTGAAAGCTTTTCACCTGCATTCTCAATTCTGGTGCTTGTGCTGCTAGCTTTTGAGTGAGGATATCGGCGTTCGAGAAAAAGGTAATCGCGAAAACTGGCGAAAAGGTTTTGACGTCGTGAAAGTGTGAGAGGCCAGCGTATAGTAGTTTCAGTTTTTGGTTTCGAAACAAATATCGAATGGAATTTAGAGTAGTGGTGTCGTGTTATTGTTGTGGAGTTTGTAATGAACTTATTGGTATGTGGTTGAACGAAAAACGTTAATTGACGCGTAAGATTGTCAAAAGTGATCTTTGTATGGGTTGAAGGAGAAAACCATGAAAACGGAATAAATGATAATGGTAAAACATTTGAATCTCTCGTCAGAAATGTCTTTAAGCCTTTTCGTTCCGCTAAGGGAATAACATGTTTCCAACGAAACATGTTTATCAAGTGGTGGTGGACAATAAAATCACATCTGTCTAGTCATCTGGAAAAATTTTAGTTCATATCGAGTAAATCTTATTTGTGGGGTGTTTGATCATCGATTTTATTAATTCCCCGCTATTATGAAAATCCATCTTTGGAAGTTGATATGCATTACTACCCAATGAAAGTAGAGATGGGTTTTTATACCTATATAAATATTGATCATATTTGATACATACAATGTTTTCAAGCATCCTTATTAAACTGATTATAAAAATTCACAAACTACAAGGTCTACATCCTAATTAATTCGTTTTTAAAACCCATTATTTGAAGCCGCCTCGATTTTCTGAATCCGCATACTTCTCTCCAATGTCTCTGCTTTAGAAATTTCGAGAATAAGAGAGTTACAGATTCCTAGTTCTTGAATTTCTTCTTTCATGTTGATGCAGAGATGGTGCATTAATTGCGCGATTTCATGAATCTTGTAATAAATTATACGTGTAAATATTAAGAGGTTAAAGAAAGATTATGAATCATATGATTTTGTCAGTTCTTCTCTTTCTATACAATATCAAAATAGTATACCATCGTTGATTCTAGAGCCGCGTTCTCCATGATTTTTGATATTGCTTCACAACATTCATTGACTTGCGATGACAATACATCTTTTTTGCATTGGAATTATTCAGTAAAGACAAAAAATATAGAAAGTAAATCTAAGGATATAACAGATAGATAACTACCCAAATTCCCTATTTCTACATTAGAAATAGGCATGGCTGTTGTCGTGTTTTTTAACGAGGATGTGAAAGGAATATAACGCATTTTGAAGTTTTCCAAATCTTGAATCACCTGCAGTAATTGATCTCTCTAAAAAGATACATATTCCATGCAGTCGTATTCAACGCTTTAGATTAGAATTAAAAAAGAACACATCAAATACGCAGATCTTTCAAGTTGACGTAATTTATGATTAGTTTACCTGCACACTCAAAGTCTCTTGGAGCAATATTATCTCTTTCTTCAATTCAAATCTTCGTTTTGCATCATCAAATTCTTTTTGTTTTTGTAAAAGTAGTTCCCATGCTTCTAATAACTGAGCCTATGACAGTAAATAAAAACAATTAAAAAATGATCGAAATGAATCAAAATAGATGTTGATTAATATTCATGCCTCCACAATCTGCTGCTGACACTCAAACGACTGTGCAGCCTTGGAATTGATAAAAAGCCATTGTGTCAAGCGTATGTTTAACATAGCAACCTCATCGTCCAAGTTCATCACATTTGTGGTATTATTTTTGCGTCCTGTCAAATCCAAGGTCTACAAATACACATATATATATGAGATAGTAAAGGTGAATATGTAAAGATAGAAATATATCCTATAAAAGTTCAGAAGGATTCAGATAGATTGAATGAAACAGTCAGAGGCTTTGAAAGAAGATGATTATTTACCTTAATATTATTAGTTGGCGCAGAAGACTGAGAGGAGTGACTTGATGATTTTTTTTTTGTGTCAGCTTCTACTTGTAATTTAACGAATTTTGGTGAGTTGGAATAATATCCAAATTTTTTCAAGCAATATGCCTAAGCCCATGCCAGAGTAAAAAATAATAGATCTACCCGTTTTCTTCGTAGCATTAAGAGATCTTGAAGTATCCTCCCGTTTCTTTGCCAATGATGTTTTCGTTACATCAACAGAAGACAAAGTCGAACGCGAATTAAAAAGACCACGTTGAGTAACAGCAGCAACACCAGAGACTGAATTTCTCGCGGATATACTTGTAACTTCCTTCGATTTTGAAGATCTTAATGTGTTTTCATTTAAATTTTTTTTATTGGAGATTCCTGTTGATTGTTGTTGTTGATTTTGCGTCGAAAGTGACTGCATATAACGTGATGGAACTTCACGAACTATTTATTAATTTGTATCAAAAATAATTCAATCAATTATGATCAAAATATAATAATAATATTTAATCATGATAGGTGCCTTTCTTCTTTTTTCCAGGCGTTGTAGAGACAGTCGTCGACACCGAAGGATCAGACGATGCATTTCTGTTTGTCTTGCCTAGCGTGTTGTCGTCAACGTTATTGTTTTTTGCTGGCAAAGTAGGCTGTTTAGAAGCCTCGGCCTCCATTTTTGTAATATGTGATTTGGTTAGGAATGGGTTGTTGTCGTAGTCGTATCTATTTGAGAATTAAGGAATGAAATACAGACTAAAGGAACTCCAGTCCTCCCTTTAACAGTAATACATACACAGCCTTCCCTGCAAATGCAGTTCGTCTTCGGACTGGTTTCGAAAGGGAACTTAAAGAAAGAAAGTTTCTTGATATCAATTAATGCCTAACCTTTGGGAATATTAATTTAATATATCACTTACGTTGCATTTAATGTTTTCTTTCTCTCGGAGAACGTTGGTGGTTTATTATTCATTTTTGTTGACGCGTAATTTTTTGGTGATCCGTCAATATTTTTGGCTATCGCTATCTCAAATCAGTGTCACACTGATAAAGAGATTGCGTGCATTGTTATATTATCAATTCCGAAAAACAACATATAATAAATATCATTTAACATGAAGAACATTATGCTTATTCAAAGCAATCTCTTAAGTTCTTAAGTTTCAAGTTGGGTGAAATGTATGTATCTCTAAGCTTCAGGAAGTAAAGATTAGCCAGCTAACGTTTTCATCCAACATTCCTGATGCAAATGCACAATCATAATTTTTGTTCTTTTTTTCAAAACATTAATTCAAAAATATAATCATGATAGTTTGTGGGCTTGGTGCATCGAGTAGTTTGATTGTAACCTCAAAAAAGAGAAAGTAACCGCTCCTTATTAAAATAAACAAGACTTTAATACAAGTGTTTCTTCTTAGTTTTTATGTCTTGATCCAGACTATCTGCAGAACGTGAAACACCAAAAAAAGGTATCGACATTTTTTAAATGTTACCTTTCAATGAGAAAAAATTTTATATTATAAAAATCATATAGTTGCTCGTCCAACTTTCTATTATATATTTCTTGGAAATTAAATTAATAGTACAACTAAAATGAATAAAGTATTCTACAATTAAAAATAATATTTTTGTTATTCCCTGTCTCAAATTTCCCGAGAATTAAACAAGTATTTTTACGTTGGCACCAACTTTTTTATACTCAAGAATAATCCATTAGCGTCTACAACCATGACATTATTAACATTGCCATTACCATCATCTTTTATGAGTTCAATTCTTCCTTCGACAAAAGCTTTACGACCTTCCAAGTTAGTGATTTTTGCATATCCCTTAACTATTGCGTCGGAAGGACATGGGGCACGGTAGTTTATGTGGAGATAAGCTGTTGCTGAGTTTTTTTCTGGAAAACATGGATTTACCTGTTTTTATGCAAAAAGTTCTATTATTAATACATGTAACAACAATTATCATACATATAAATGAAAAATTTTGCTGCTACTCACAACTCTAGCGAACATCTCATCCACCAAAACAGCTAACAATCCACCATGCGCAATCCCCTCGTGCCCGCTCAAATCCTTACCAATATGCTGAAACCCAATCAACTCTCTAGTTTGTGAATTAAAAAAAACGAGTGGTGACACCGCAAACATGCCTGGGCCCTTTAAAGTTTTAGCGGTGAGATGGTGGTAACGTGTTTTCTCATTTAGCCATGGATAAACACGATTTCGCTCGAATTTCGGATTATTTAAAAGTGATTTTACTTCGGGAAGTGATAGTATTTTGGCGTTGAGATTTTTTTTGTAGGTGGCGTAGTCGTAATCGTTATCTTTCGTTGGCTCTTGGTTTTTTTGGAGATATTGGTTCGGTTTAAACAACGATGATGAGTGAAGTGAGGTCGATGATGTTGTGGTTGATGTGCATTGAGAATGCGTATTTCGAAGACTGGTATACCGTAATGGTGCAAATGGATTGATGCTTATTATTTTTTGAAATTTGATCAAAGGTTCAAAATTGTGATTAGAAGTAACGCATTTATTTGATAAAATATATAATACATTTCTTGTTAATAAAAGAGCCATAATTTTACTAATGATAGAAATACAATGGAATATTTCTTGATTCAATTCAATTCACTCACCAAGCACTTCAATTCAATTTATACCAAAAAAAAAAACCAAAAGATATTCTTCATTTGGACCAAATTATTAGTCAAATCATTGACAAAAACACGCTCTTACTGTAACCATTTGAAAGTAAGATTGGTAATCAGAAATCAGAAATCAGAAATAAAATGATTTCAACATCGCACAAACCTGTCGTGCTTGTCGCATCATTCCGTTAATGTGGAAAATTCATTTTTCCCGGCAAGGTTTGACGACGATTTGATGAATTGTTGATACACCACGGGTCTTCCGATTTTCCTGGTGCGCGTGATTGAAGTTAAATGCCTCCTTACTACATACATGTACTCACATGTACATACGAACATACTTAATACGTACGTGATGATTAAGAGAAAATAAATACGTGTGAATAGATGTAAACAGAAGAGAATAAGTGTATGTAAGAATAAAAGATATAAATTAAAGAAAAGCATCAAGATATTAATCAATCAAAATTACATTTCTAAATGTAAGATAACGATAAAAAGCAAATTAACACGAGATCAAAGTATTTGTTTAAGCCCCAATTATAATCAATCAAGTGACAATGAATAATGATAGCGATAAAGATGATTAATAGCTGCAAAACAAAAAAATCTCCAATGCATCAATTCAATAGCAGCATTAATCTGTCCTGAAATCAAATCATTCAATGTGTCAAGCAAAGGAGTTTATGTAAAGTGCAGACACATCTATCCATCTCACGCTAATATATGAGGATATTTCCAATTGCGGGATTAAATATAGATCTTACGAGTTTTGTATATAAAAGATTGTGTATTTGTGTCTATCTAGCTACAAAATTACATATTTTTATCTTCACCATTTCTTAGATTCGATTTATTTTTGCCAACTAAATTTTAAATTTAAAATACGATGAGTGATGTCGAGAAACAGGACGATGTGAAACATGAGAGTAGCGAGGTTGACTTTTTTATCTATATACGTATTTTTTTATTATCAAATTATTATTAAACATATTCGAATAAATAGGAAAAAGAATCTCCGCCACCTGCCAAGAGAAAAAGAGCATCAAGTGGCGGTGGAAATAATAGTACAAGGAAACCTAAATCAACCACCACTAGTACTAAAAAATCAACAAAAAACACTACAAACGCAGCCGCTACCGCAACCAATTCATCCAATTCCCCAAATAAGAACGGTAATGAAACCGCCACCACTACAAACAGTAACAATAATGAAACGACCGCAACTACTACAACAAAAAGCTCCAAGAAATCGAGTGGCACGTCTGGTGCGAAATGGACATCAGATGAAGATCAGATTCTTCTCGGGGAAATATTCAATTTGCTACCACCAATTCCTTGGGCGCAAATCGCCGAAAAGTTAGAAAGTCGTGACGCGACTAGTGCAAAGAATAGGTGGGCTAGCATTCGACGACAGATTGCTAAAGGCACGAGTTCGATCCTTTCATCTGTTGGTAATAGTTCTAATGAGTAATAATTAAGGATGGATTTGTTGTGGTTTATGATGATGAGAAGCGATGCTTAGTAGTAATATATTTGAATTACTTTTTTTTTAGTTTTAATTTTTTTTTATTTGTAAAATTGATAGAAATCAAATATTTTGCTGGTTTGTACTAAATAAATAGCATAAGATTATTTGCTATACTTCGCAATATTATTTAAATTCTAAATAAAATTTACTTTGATCGCAAAATACGCACACACAAAGACAAATATTTATTCTCGAAGGATTTAAATGGAAAAGAAGCTAATCGTAATGTGATTACTGAAGATTGCGATAGTCCTTAAATATTTCTTTTTCAAATTCCCAGTCATTTCTGAAACAGATTTAAAAACCACAAAAAAGTAAAATATTTGCCACTATCATTTAGTTTTGGATTTTGTTTCTTTTTATTCTCATATCGATATCAAGTTTGATTGATTTGATAGATTGACGAGACTTTAAATTTATCTGTGCTTGGCTTATTTATAAAGTATACAACTGGTAAAAATAACAATTACTCTCCTTTAACAAAAGCTAACGTTAAAACGAAAAATAGTTAATTACTTATTGATTGATAGCATGATTGATGTCGTTAATTAATTAATTAATTAATTGTAAGTTCTTACTATTGCTATTATTACTATTACCATTTAGAGATATATTAAAAAAAAAGATATTCCTTTTTGTTGAAATTCGATTATTTTTTTTCCTGGTTTTAACTTTCAATCCTAATTAAACATTACTTCTTTCTTTTCCTAACGAAATATGTACGGGACAGCAAGGAACTCTCACGCCAACGATATCGGGAAAGAAGCACGATTTAAGCAAGTAAATGTAACGGTAACAACAATTCCACGTGCTGTAAATCATTAATTCGTATTCATTTTGTTTTGCACGATGACGCTTATATAAAGAAACTTGTAGGCTCCACGACGACGACGAAAAATGGAAAGCAATTTATCATTGAGAACTATAACCTCAAGAAACTCTAAAAAATCTAAAAATTCTGTACGAACGAGTATCACCAATTGTAATCCTCTTAATCATTGGACATATGAAGAGAACCGTGTTCTGCTAGAGAGTATTTTCAATGCTCGTCCTGTATCTTTACCAAATAGCCAACGCAATAGCTACAACAGCTTCAAATACAAAGAAACAAAAGGCAAAAATATATCGAAGAATACCCAAGAAACGAGAAAGGAAGATAATAATGCCAAAAATTGGGCATCCCGGAATAAAGTTTCTTTGAATATGACGAGACGGGTACTTGAGATTTGGGATCGGGGAACTTCGATGGTGGTTAGAAGGGAAAGGAAAAAGAATCAAGATTGATTTTACTTTTTAACCTTTTTATCATATATAAATGGAAAAAGGTGTATTTTAAATTTATTTAATAAATGAAACATATAGAAAATTACATTGACGGGTCATGGCTATAAGCCACTTACATGATCTAAGTTATAATTCTGAAGATTTAGATTCTAAAGGCTCTGCATCCTTATACCCTTGGTAACTGACAGTCCAAACTCGTTAACACAAAATTGTTTGTTATTTCAGAATCTTTTGTATTAAGTAACTTATCATAATATACTAGTAAAAGCTCTGAACTAGGAGTAAAAAAATTCGTTGAGTATCGGTTGACTGAGCGAGAGCGAGCAATTGCGCATGGATAACGAGCATGGGAAGCGAGAGTGAGTAATGAAAAAGAGAACCTTTTTATACTTGAAAATTTTTTGAGAATATTTGTCATGAAATAAATAGTTAAAAATAGATATGGTTAATTTTTGTAAGGATTTCTATGGATCAAGGGATTAACGTTAAGATACGAATGTTTGTGTGGGTTTCTACTGATGATCACATTCTTGGGAGCGCAAATTAGGCATTTTTGTAGGAAATTCGTGATATTGTGAAGGAAATATTGAAGTTGATACCACAAAGTAGAAATTTTTGCGAAACGACATCAATGTAAATGCTACAAGATGCATTGTTCCAGAATTTTCGCACTCACGCGACTTCTCGTTGCGACAGTAACAAAATATAGATCAAACAATAGCTTGTCGTATATAGTAATTGTGGCAGATTAAAAATGAAAATAAATTTTGAACCTTTTTTTGTGCATATCATTTTGTGCATATCACATGATTTTATTTCATCATAACATCATAACATATAATTTAATATTTATACACTATTATTAATCATGTATCACATACAACTAATAATGATGCAATAATAAATTCAGTAAGAAAAAAAGTAATTTTTTTTTACTCTTCCCTTCTATTTTTCTCTCTTTTTATTATTTATTTGAATATTTTATCTAAATAAATTCTTGAGTTAATAACTTCTTATTTAATTAGTTACTTTCTTGATTTCTTTATTCTTTCTCTTTTTTTATTTACTATTTTCTATTTATTTGAATATTTTGTCTGAATGAATTCTTAACTGATTTATATACTTTAAATTAAATTAATTCTTATTTAATTAGTTATTTTCTTGATTATTTTATAAATTCTTGACTGGCTTTAAGTCTTTTCACTATTTTCTTTTTTTTGATATTAAAAAATATATAAGTTAGTTTGTTATACTTCTTATTATTAAGTCTTTTTACTATCTTATTATATTAGTTTAATATATTTTTATTATTAATTTTTATTATCTTATTCTTCTGATTTATTATTATTTTGTGTAATATACTTTTTTATATTACTTTTTTTCATTATTATATAATAATTTCAAGCTATTTTTTATTAGTTATATTAAATTAGGAAGATATTAAAATCAAGATATATAAATAAAAATATATTCTTATATTATATTATAATATATTATACATAATTTTTTATATATCAATAAATAAAAAAATTAATAAATATCTTTTTTTTTCTAAAGTTAAATTTTTATTCTCTTTTAAAATAATTAAGTTACTAAAAATTTCAAAAATACTTGAGAATTTTAATAATATAATTAGTTATATCAAGTTTGATATCTTTTTAATAAAGTATAATATCTTGATAAAAAAAATAAATTTTTTAAAGATAATATAGAAATTTTACATATAATTATTAAAAAGATTATCTTTTTTATATTTAATAATTAAAAAATATAAATTTTTAGTCTATTATAAAAAGAATTATTCTTACTTATAATATAAAGTTAAAAATAATTTTTTTTAAAAGATTTCATATCAAAATTACTTACTTTAGCTATTATAAAATATATATAATAATTTATAAGTAATATATTAATATTATATAAAATGAAATCAAATAATATATAAGTAATTATCTAACTTATATTTAAAATATTAATATTAAAGAAAAAGCTAATCTAATATTTATTATAGCTAATAACTTTCTTAAATATATTCAAATTAATTTAATTAATTTTCTTTTTTTTGCTAAATATAATAACAGATATAATTATATTCTAATAATAATTGATATATTTTCATATTATATTTGAATTATTTCTCTTTTAAATAAAAAATAATATAATTTATAATAATATAAATTTTTATAAGTTTTGACTCTCTTCATATTTTAAGTGAATAATAATTTGAAATTTATAATCAGTATCTTAAAATATACTTATAATATTTTTAATATAAAATTTATTTATGATTATACTTATTATTACAAAGTTAAGAAAAAATTAAGAGATTTAATTAAATACTTAATCACTATTTAATAAAAATACTTTAAAATAAAATCTTTAAGATTCAGAACTATTAATAGATTAATATTTTTCTTTTATTTATAATTATATATAGTATAATAAAGTATTTTATAAAGATTATAAAAAATTTTTATATAAAGTATTTAAAATATAAGAAGTTTATAATATATTAGATAAAATAATACAAGCTAATAATATCTCAAATAAAGATAACTTTTCAACTATTATAACATGATGATAAATAAAGTATTATCTAGTTATAACTAATTATAACTTACAAAATTTTGAAATTATAATATATTATAATAGATAATAAATAAGTATTATATACTTGTTATATTATCTTTAATTTCAAATAAAATAATATAAGTTAATACTATACTAAAAGAAAAGAATAATAATATTATAAATATTAATATATATATCTTAATTAAAAAAAAAGAAAAAAAAGATATATTAAATAAAATAGATATATTAAGTAAAATAATTATAGAGATAATATATAATATAATTATAAAAATAGAAGAAAATCAGAATATCTTAATTATAAATAGCTAAGTTATTACTTATAAAACTTATATAATATAAGTTAAAAAAATAAAAAAAAATTACAAAAAATAATAAACTTTATCAAAATAAATTTATAATTTAAAAAAGTATTTATTAAAAAAAAATTAATCTTTAAATTAGGAAATGAAATTATAATTATTCTTAATTATAATATTAATTAAAAAATAAAAAAATAAAAGTTAAAATAAATATATAATAATAATAAAAAAATTATATCCATATGTAATAATAATTAAAGATAATATTATAACTTAGTTATAATTCTCTAATTAACTATTATAATTAATTATAATTTTTTAATTAGCTATTATAAGTTATAATTAATTAAGATAATATTTTTAATAATAATAAAACTATAAGAATTAAAATTAATAATAAAATAAAGACTTTTATAATAAAAAACTTGGATAAATAACAAATAGCAAAAAATAAATAATGAAAAATAGATAATAGAAGACAAATAGTGAAAATAAATAGATTTTTTTAAAAAAGATAAAGTATAACAAAATTAGATTAGTTATTAATAATTATATTATATTTATCTTTTATCTCATAGATCATTGTTATGCCACATACTACATCACACATAACTTACTGCATCACAATTACTTGATCATGCCAAGAAAAGTCATCTAATTTATTTGAGTTATTTTAGCTATAAATAGTTTCTTAGTAGAATTTCTCTTTTCTCTTGTTCTATTAATTTAACTAGCATATTATTAAATTTATATATTTTATTTATAATCATTTATTTCTTTATTTATTCATGAATAAGTATCTTTTAGAGATACTATCATATAAGTATTTTCTATTATTAATTTATTTATCTTATTATTAATTTTATGTAACATTAATTTATTATTTAAAGATGTTATATCTGTTCTATAATTTTAATAACAAGTAATAAATACATGAATAAAGAATAAGTTTTAAATACATAATTTCTTATCTACTTTTGATTTAGTTTTCTGTATGAATTCTATTTCAAATATTATTGTTTATATCTTGAATCTTCTGTGTGAATTTTCTTGATATAATATTATATCCCAACTTTTTTATGTGAATTATCTGAATATATTATATTATATAATAAGAAGGTTATATAAAGATAAATTCTCTTTAAATAAAAATAATTTTATTATCTTTTTAAGTAAATAATAAAAACTTTAAGATATAATAATATATTATTATTATAATTATATATCATTATTTTAATTTTATATTATAATTTTCAAATATACTATTATAAGAATTAGTTAAATAATCTATTATAAATATATAAATTTTTTGATAAATCTGACAAAATAAATATTATTTAAAAATTAATATCTAAATTTATCTTTAAATATTAATTAAAATTATCAGAATTATAATTTTTCATATAATCTTGTTCTTTATTCTAATTATTATTCTTATTTAAATCATATTTTAACTATTTTCTTATTATTATATATTATTATTAATAGTATATTATTATAAACTATATTTATGAAGATAGATTTTATCAAAAATATAATTTATAATAAGTTTTAAGAATGATAACTAAATTATTTATAAAAATAAAGAGAATTATAATTATTCTAAAGATTTTCAAGTACTAATATTTATAAGTATTATATTAATACAAAACAAAAATAAAATAAAATAAAAAGAAAATTATGATTACAAAAATTAAACTTAAGAATAGATATCAAAAACTAAATAATAATTATTATAACTAAAACAAAAGATTTAGTATACTAACTAAATTCTCTAATAGTATTTTTTCAACTATTAGATAAATAAAAAATATATATCAAAACAAAATAAAGCTTTTATATATGAAAAAGCTTATAAGAATTTTTGTAAATTAAATAAAATATACTTAATTTATTTTAAGTAGAGAGTATTTATTATCTATATCTTTCAGACAAGAAAGTATGTAATTAATTAGAATATAATCTATTATAATAGAAGAAATAATTGAAAGCAGAATATTAAAATAAAAATCAAAGAAAAATTACAAGATAAGTATAACTCAAGTATTTTCAAAAATAATTAAATTATTACTATTTAAATATATTTATTTTATATTTGAAAACAGAAATATTTATAAATCTTTAAGATCTTACAAATTATATCTAAATTTTACTTATAACTTATTTACTACTTTAGTATATAATTATAAGTTTTAAAACAAAAAATTAATAAATAAATAAGTAAAATAAAAAGATAAGATATATATATTAAGTTAAATAATAATATAAATGATAAAATAAAATAAAAAGATTAGATAAATATTTTAAAAAAAAAGATAATAAATAAAAATAAACTAAATTTATTGCTAAATTATTTCTGAAATATTTCTAAATTATTAATAAACTATTTATAAACTATTATTAATTTTTAAATTAATTATATACTTATAATTTTAAAAATATTACAGAAA